TTTCTCCTCCTCTTACTGTCACTTTGAGTTCTGCAGTAATTTTTTTCTCCCATCCGCTTAGGGCAAGATGTTTCCCAAGACATACAATTGGTAGCAACTCCAGGAGGAAGGTGCCACCCCTATGAGTTAGATGTGTAGGTCTTTGTCTTCTCTCAACCTTATCCTATTTGCAAGTGGCAGCATTTCAATTATTTATTCTTCAGCTGGGTGAGGGGAGGGTATAGAAATGAAATGAAAATAATAATGCAAATAATTAGCATAGTCAATGGAGATAGTTTGCCCTTATTTTCTCCTTTTCCCATGCAGGTAGGTTGAATTTCAAGGGGAAAACTGGGTCCGTGGGTTAAACCATACTCCTGGAGTCCTGATGTGAATTGAGATTGTCCACACACAACTGTTATGAGAACTACAATGGATAACTGCTCTATTCAGGGTTTGAAGAGAGTATGGTTGAACAAGAGTGTTATTTAAGACTTTGGAGACCTCAGCCAGCCAGGTTTGGTATTAGAGAGCTGGACAGGTGAAAGCAGGGAATTGCTTACATCAGGCCAAATATAGGAGCAAAACTGAAAGCTCAAGTTAGACCCTGCAAACCCAGATAGCATCTCATAAGGATAAGGATGGACCGTTGCCAGCTGTTCTGCATACCTGCCTGCTCTAGTTCATCTCACGTTATTGAGTCGGCGTGTTCAGTTGGTTTCAGCTGAGTTCATTTGGTTTGAGAGAAATCAAGCAACCATGAATTTGTAAGAATCCAACCCTAGCAGCTACGGAAGAACAGTTTTTCCTGAATCATGTGGCTTTGCACAGATTTAGTCATAGAAAAATATGAGAACTTAAAAAAAACTGTTTATTTTTACCATAGGCAAAAGCACAAAACTGCATGGGATAGTGGTGGAATTGGTCTTTTTCAGAGTGTTAACTTGCACAAATGCATATGAACACATTTCTGCAATGAGTAGATAATGGACTAGAGGTCACCACAAATCCACAAAATGTGAACAGACCAGATTTTACAATGTTAGTATTTATTTATTTATTTATTTATTTATTTATTTAAAATATTTATATGCCGTCCTATTCACAAAAAAGCCTCAGGATGGCTTACAATATAAAATATAACATAAATGACATAAATAAATTCCCGACCCACACTGGCTGCAGTTAAAAACATAGAAAAGACAATATTAAAACTTATTAAAATATCAGTGGAATAAAAAGGTCTTAACCTGGCACCGAAAAACAAATAACGACGGCGCCAGGCGGACCTGTCTGGGGAGCGCATTCCATAGTTGGGGCGCCACCGCAGAGAAAGCTTCCCTAGTTGTGCTAGACTGTTCTTCATCCATTTCTTAGGCACCCTCCAACTGATTGTTTGAGATGTGGATTAAGTGGGAATCCTTTTAAAATATCAGGGAAAGCATTTTAAAGTGTTAAGATACATATTAGGTATCCTTATATATTTTGCCTTTCACAAGACCTCTACAAGACCTAATATTATTTTATTAATAGAATTAGGATATGAAAATTGTTATTTGAAACAATAGCAATTGTTATTGAATCTCTATATCACTATTGTCACTTCATTTTAGGAACTTTGGACAACTGATGTTAAGATCAAGTGAAATGTTAGGAGGAAAACTAATATGTAAACTTAGTAGGTGTGCAGATGTAGCAAGTACTTTATGAATAGAAGCTTTGAACAAGTTCATTACCACTGTGAAGCAGTACGCATGTTTCAGACTTCTGTGGAAGTGCAATATGATATAGCTTGGCTGTTAAAATAGATCCTGTGGAATTGAATTATGGCTTCTTTAATCTGATCAAGTCGAATTACAGTCTTATGAAGTATGCGGCAATTTTATCACCTGTGGATTTATTTATATAACCAAACAGAATTATTCCTGCAATATAATCTTAAATATAGGCAAAATAAAAATAGTTCCTCTAAGAGGTCAATGAGTCTGAAGTAAAAAATCTGTTACAGGAATATGTGGAATTGAAGCCTTCAATTCATGGTACACTTTAGTTAGCGTAATTAGATTTAAACTATTTTAATAACTTGGATAAGACTAGATGAATGCAACCAAATATTTGCACTTAACTCAGGCCTATTTCTCACTGTTGTTATAAACTGATGCTTGGGTTCTACTGTTTCAGGTTGCTTACATGACTAGCATCATCTCTGTCTAAACAAAACCAAACCAGTTTCTTTGCATAGAAAACAAAATATTAGGAGGAAGACTGTCAGCCTGAGGAGGCCACTTAGATCAACTAACTGCAGATGCTCTTCTTCAGGTCCGTCCCCCTTCAGAGGAGATTCAGGTTGTGGCCAGGTACCTGTAGCATCTATTTGCAGAAGTCTTTCTCCAGAGAGGCTTGCATGGTGCCTACTCCTTTCTTTTAGGTCTCATGTGAACTTGTTGATTCTACAAGGCCTTTTACAGGTGTTTTGTTGTTTGTTTTATGCTTTTCTGAATGTCTTCCTTAAGGATGGTACATTATGTATCTACGCAGGAAGACTTTGGAACATTTTTCCAAAACAGGTATGTCTGACACTGACACTAGTCCATTTAGCACCAGGTTGGATCTTCTTTAGTGGTCTGGGCATCTTCAGTGATAGTCTTGTCTCTTCCAGCTATATGGTTTTTATAGTTATTTCTGCCTCTTCCTTGTTGTGCTCATTATTGATCTTTCCTTTTTTTACATTTTTGCAGTTTTATTGCATTTTATTTTCTATTCATGTGTCTCATTTTATTTATGCCTTTTTCACACAGACCTGGAATTAATCCGGATGAACAAAGGTTTACAAATATTTTAAATACAGACATAAATATGCTGATCATGCTATGCTTTGCTGATTTTTAATGTAAAATACCTTATCTGTGAATGAAGGGCAATATATATTCCCTAAACAAAGGCATCCTATAGTTGTCTCTGAGCCTGGAGAGTTTTCTTGCATTGAAAAGCATTCCACCCTGTGAGCTCCAGTATCTCACCTGCAATCTGAAGTGGTAGGCCTGAATGTGGGTTGACCACCCTGTGAGAACCAGGCTTCCCTTTCGGACTGATCTGTTTTATACCCAGTCTGCTAAGAATAGGTCTGCAGTCCAAATAACAGTGCAGTCCTATTTGTTTCTTCCCACCTTCAGTAGAACTTATTTCCAGGTAAGTAGGCATTGGATTCTGACCTGAGTCAGGGACTCTTTAAACAAGTATCTTCTCCCATCCCAATCAGATACAAATGGAGAGATCTGGAAAAATCTTAGGCAAATGCACAGGACTCCTTGCTTGCCCACTTCTTTCTACCTGGACGTGCCACATTCCTAGAAAAGGGCCAAGATTGTAGCTTTTGGCACCATCTCTGTGTCCCTAGGAATGTCTGCTTTGGCCCCTAGATCCTACTTATAACACTGTTTAACTTGCAGGGATTAAGAAGCCTTGTGTTCAGGTAGATGTAATTCCAGTGTATGCAGAACTCTGTATGTAGATGGTCTTTGGGAGCACACACAGCTAGCAGTTGTAAGTAACTGAGTCAGTGACCCATCTGCCTTTGTATTAAGGATTACACTAGTGGCTGCTTCCCATGTGGGTTGGAGGAAGCCATTCCTCAATGTCTCCAGTGCTGAAAGAGCAATCATTGCAAAGTACCGTATTTTTTGCTCTATAAGACGCACATTTTCCCCCCTCAAAAGTAAGGGGAAATGTCTGTGCGTCTTATAGAGCAAATGTGTGTGTGCAGTAAGTCTGTCAGATGTGCAGCCCATGGGAAAGTGATGGAGAATGTGCCTGTGATTATGTGCCCATTTGAGTCAGAATATTTTTTTTCTTGTTTTCCTCCTCTAAAAACTAGGCGCGTCTTATAGAACGAAAAATATGGTAACTCAATAATGCAAATGAGTCAAGTTGAGATGTCCTTGCTTATTAGTTCTTCTTTGGTCCCTATCAAAATGAATGGGGTAAATGGTCTGAGGAAGGGTGGGTAGTACATCTCCGTACAGAATTCACCTGAATCTCACGTTCACGCTTTTATATTAACTCTGTCTTTTTTCTCCATCGCAGCATGCAACCATGCAAGTGGGAAAACGAGATCATATTATCTTGGCTTGGCACTAGAAGATTTTTGTTATATCACAAAACTGAGTGGATTATTGTATTTGATATGCTATTGGGTGCTATAAGTACCTGTAACAAGATCATTTTCACCATGAGATGTCTGTGTTCTGGAATTAGCTGCCATGTCCTTATAGGGTTGATATCCATCACGGTTGCATTAAAAAGCACAATTTGGTTAAGTTGACACGGACTGATGGGTGCAACCCCCATTCCCAAAGCCCTTCTGCACATCAGATTGCTTTCCTTGTTTCTGAAATAATACCAACCATATCAATACTGTCATCTCAGTGTCACATTTCGCAGGTCAGGCATTAATTCCATTTTTTAAGTGTCCCTTTTGGCGGCATGTGTATCAGTAGCTTTTATTGCTGCTTCTCTGTTCATTTCTTATATTACCTCCTAGCAACTGCATGTACTGAAGATTTCTGCATATTTTGAATCTGCTGTTCTCTTATCAATGCCTCATGGTCATTGTCTGTGTCTTTCAAATCTGTTCATTTACTGTTGTATGTTAGAAGCTTTGCATTCTAATGTTTCTTGAAGTCCCTTGGTGTAAACTTGGATTTCAAGGCTATTAGAACAAATGGAAGGGCAAGTCCTTTTTCATTTGCTCTGCAGCAAGATTCTTGCCTCTTAGAACATGCTGTTCAAGGGAGCTGCTTAGAATCACCTACTGGGAGGCTGTCCTTACCCACAAATCTGATTGCACGATGCATTTTTATTTCTTTCCAACAGGGTCTATAGAGCACCCAGGGGATCGAGTTAATTTCTTTTGAGCCTAAATGATTTGTTTTATCATATCTTTCTTGATCTCTCTCCTTTAAAAACTATATTGGAAAATTTTAAATGAGTAAATATTTCACTTGCTATTTTGTTATGGACAGAAAACCAATTTAGGTGCAAAACTCCAGCCATCGCAGACATAGTGATCCTAGTTGATGGCTCCTGGAGCATTGGCAGATACAACTTCAGGCTGGTGCGTCTTTTCCTGGAGAATCTGGTGGCTGCATTCGATGTGGGTTCTGAAAAGACAAGAATAGGTAATATGTTGCACAATAAGGCTGAAAACCAAACCTACTAAGAATTAACTCTTTAGTTATTTGTTCATGGACATACATTTATTTTTTACTTATTGCCATTTAATGTAATTGGCAAAAATACTATGGTCTTTGAAATATTGAATCCTCATTGAAACCATGCATTAGCACATTTATATAGTAAGCCATTATAAGGGCTAATTGTTTCTGGCATTCCACAAGTTCCACATTCACCCACTGATAGAGGTGTCCATTAAGAAAATGATCCAATGGCCCCTAGACATCAAAGGAGGCCATAGGACAATTCTAAATCCACAATCTGAGCTAAGAGGCACTTCTGCCATCATTGCAGAAAGAATGACACCAACTGCTTTTTCAAGGTCAGGCAATTGATCTTGGAGAAAAGGTAAAGGGGATGATCCAGGGGTGGACAGGGGAGGAATTGCAGTGGCCAGAAGAAAGGTACTCCAGCATCTGGCCTCTGAAGAATTTCAGCTAGATGGCCACAAACATCTGACGACCTAAAATGCAAAGGAGATCACTTTGCTGCTTCCTCTGCTCCGCACTGGATTCTGGTAGACCTCCCAAATTCAGACTAATGAGCACTGAGGGGTCAGTCAATGGGAGTTAAACTCTCAAAGTTCTGTCCCACTGTAGTGTGGACAGCATTTTGGGTCTTAATGTGACAGCGTGCAGGTTTAGCCTGCCTGCCACTAGCAGCACCCCTTGTGAATTCTCCTCTACTAGTGCATGGTGTGCAAGCAACTCCACGAGTACAAGAAAAGGTTGCGTTTGCTGAGCGGCCCCACTTCCACACAGAGGCAAAACGTCTCTTTGTGTGCAGAGTGGATGGGGAAGCATTGCACACACAAACATGTGCACTTTCCAGTGTCCTTTGCTCGGTAGAAATGCCAGATGGATATTTCCTATCACAGTGAAATAAATAACCTTGCTTTATGTATTGCCGTCTTCCCTAGGCCTTGCACAATACAGTGGTGACCCACGGATAGAATGGCATTTGAATACTTATGGCACAAAAGATGCTGTTTTGGATGCAGTGCGTAACCTGCCCTATAAGGGTGGAAACACCTTAACAGGTACAGTAAAATTGGTGCATGACTCACATTTCAAAATGTGCCTATCTTCCCAGTGTTGCACTGCAGGTCGTTTACCTTGTTTTCTGCTGGGGAAATGACCACGTATTATTCATGAAGGGTGAAAATGGACCACTTTATTGCTTTAGTTTTCTTACTACTTCAGTGAAATTCTTCTACAGCCATCACTCTGCAGAATTTATGTGCCAACCTCCAAATCAATCCACAGGATAGCATTAGGCTTAAAATAATAGCAAAGAGTTGCATGGAAACAAAGACAGTAGAGAAAGGTAATACAAACCCATCTGTTTCATCAGTTAAATTGGGCTCATTCACTGCAAACCAATTATGTTGCCATTATTATTGCAATTATGTCAATTCTATGAAGTGCGTTTTAAGAGAGGGTGGGCCCTGCTTGAGTCACTGCATTAATGCCTTATTTATTTCAGCCAGCAGCTCTGTGCTTGAGCTCTGTACAGAACAAATTGTTCAAAAGGTCCATTCCCTGGTGGGCTGCATTCTAAATCCAGTTGTCTAGCAGGAAGGAAATGCGAGAGTGCCAGCCAGGAACTAGCCCTTCCAGGCTGCCCCCAGTGTTGGACAAATAAGGCCATGGCTATTCCAGAATCCATGGTTAATACAGTCTGGTTAATATGGCACCAGTGGAGAATGGAGCCTTGACGTATCTCTTCCTCCCAGCTCGTTGGACACAGGGATGTAGCAAAACACCCTGCTGGGTCTGGACCAGGCAGGTTGTGGCCAGTCAGATGACCCAGAGAAACCTCCTGGAAGCCATACAAGCAACAACTCTGTCCTGCCATTTGACTGTAGGAAGGAGGTGCATTTCCTCCGAATGTGGCAGGTCTGTTTAAGTATATTGGCTCCTTGTTTTTGCTTCAGGGATACCCTTCTGGAAACTGAGAAATGGGTGTTAGTCTTAGAATTTTGGCAAATTGACAGGACCAGCTTTAGGAATGCAGTGCTTCCCATGAGTAACAGGAAGGCATGGTTGAATCCTAAGTCATGAGGAATGATTGCTCATAATACTTGGCTTATTAGTGTCAGACTTGCAGTTCATAGTCTGACATTCCTGTTCACACTCCACTGACCTGATATACTTCTATTTTTCAGAGCATAGCATCTGAATGTGTACATTTGTCCACAGAATGTGATATGTATCTGGATGCATACACAGAGAGAGAGAGAGAGAGCAAGCACATCTGAATACATGACATTTATTCTCAGAAATATTATTTCTTTTTAATTCTTTAGCATTCCACTTATTTTTTCATGGAAACCCAGATTTAATTCCACATCCTTTGAGCTTTCTTTGGGAAATTTGCTAAGGATGTAGGGCTGCCCATCTCTTCTTTTCTGTTTTTATTGTCCCTGCTCCAAATTGCCTTCCATGCTGGGGCATATTTATTGTATCTGTGCCCATCGCTTCCTCCAGGGGGATCAGGGCGCCAGGCAGTCTCTCCTGGCAATGATGCTGTGAGGTTAGGCAGAAGCAAAGTGACAGGTAAAAATTCTTTGGCAGAGCAGGGTTTTGGATTTGGATTTTCCCACTTCAGCTCCCAAACTGTAGTGGAGGCAAAGAGGCGCCACTACCTGCCATCAGATCCCCAGAGAGATGCTGTGTATCCCCGGGGTACTTTTAGTCAACTCACAGCTGTCTTTCTGCCTCTGGGTCTTTCCAAACTGCTACTATGCACCTCTGACCTCCTAACCATTCACTCCCACTGAGGAAGCATCAGCCAACCATTCTGCCAATATGCCTAAAATACACTAGCAAGTCAGAAGTTCTAACGACATAAATGTATTCAATTTGATCAATTTTGCTTTGCCTCTTTGCTTTTGCAAACACAGGCCTTGCCTTGACCTTTATTTTGGAAAACAACTTCAAGGCTGAATCAGGTGCAAGACCTGGGATCCCCAAAATTGGAATATTGATCACAGATGGGAAATCCCAAGATGATGTCATCCCACCTGCAAAAAATCTGAAAGATGCTGGCATTGAACTGTTTGCTATTGGTAAGTAAAAAGTGGAGTGGGAAGAAAAGAAAGAGGGGGAGGCCAGAACGAGGCGGTGCACTATAAGTGGGCATCCCAACCTACTTTGGGCCAGGCCGAACTTTCCTTGCTGATATTCTTACTTGAATGAGGCTCTTATTCTTTAAGCCAATGGACAGGACCAGAGCATCCTTTCCCCTTTCCTCTGCACTCCCAGGTCAGCTGCAGCAGTACTTTTTGGCCTGAGGAGGAAAGGGAGGTCTTAGCTCTCTGCTGATGGATGGGCCAGGTTGGCCCCTCTCCTGCCTTTAAGTTACTCCTGGGAGGTAAGGGGTTCATCCTTACTATGGCCCTACATTCCCCGGCCAATGGCAGAAGGCAAAGGAAGCTTCCTTTCTGCTCTCCCTCCCAGGACAACAGTACTGAGTGCAACGGGGCTGCAGTGTTTGTGGTTTCTTCCATTGTCAGGTGTAAAGAATGCTGATGAAAATGAACTGAAGGAGATTGCCTCTGAACCTGACAAGACTCACACATACAATGTTGCTGACTTTAGCTACATGAACTCCATTGTGGAAGAACTTACAAGGACCGTGTGTTCAAGAGTCGAAGAACAAGACAAGGAAATCAGAGGTAACTGAGACACTTGGAATTGGCACACTCTGACACCACACATGCAGGTTGATTATAGATCTGGAAAATATTCTGGGCATACAAATAGGCTCACAATTTTGGGTGGCTGTAATGACGCTATTTTGTTGCCTAAAATCTAGGAGCATTGGTGGCCACACTTGGAGCTCCAACGGATCTGGTCACATCTGAAGTGACAGCCAGAGGGTTCCGTGTGAGTTGGACCCATGCGCCTGGCAAAGTAGAAAAATACCGAGTTGTCTACTATCCCACTAGAGGTGGACAGCCAGAGGAGGTAATGCCGTTTCAAATAATTCCAGGTTTAATGATATGGAAATGCTTGGTAGACAGAGAAAGATAGGCTTCGCCAACTTAGACGTTGGGAAGATTATCAGCACTTTCATGGAAGTGATCAACAATCTGCCCATCTAGCCAAGTATTCTGTGGCTACCTAGATGTCCATGGGAATTACAGTGGTGATCCTGGGTAACTGCATCTGCACATATGCTTCCTGTGGCACAATTCCCCTTGTCTTCTCCACCTCTTATGTCTCCTCTTTGTTGGCATTCAGGTTGCTTGCTCTCTGAGGGTAGAGATCTGTCATATATTCAGTCCTCTGGTGATGATATGTCAATTTTTATTTCTTCCTACATAAGTATTACTATTCAAGGGAAACACAATTGATGATCAAGCTTGCTAGGATTCTTCCATGTTTTCATTTGGCATCCCTGCTTGCTCCATGTCAGCAGAAAAGTTATGCAAATCAAGTCACAATCAAACATGACATTTGCACAATTTTGTAGTCTAAAATGGGCTTTCAGTCTACAGGAGAAATTTGCACAAATTTGGAAATTAGTGCAAAGGCGAACTGGAGAAGTTGCTGTGATCAAACCCAAGCACATGTCCAGCAATTTCTGGATTTTCTAGTAAACATGCGCTCATGTTTGTGACCAAATTTAGGACATGCCAGCTTCCCCCCCCCAACCCCGCCACTTGGCAAGCTATCATGAAATGCCCATTCCTCCCTAGAAAACAAATGAAAGGGATTTAAGAAGAGAAATTAGCAGCATTAGGTATGTGTAAGGTACTCTGTAGGTTCCACATCAAAGTTAGTGAGGACTTTAGGAAGTGGTCTTCTTAGTACATGTTCAAGGGAGGGGGGGTCAGTGGAAGGACTACTCCCATGGAATGGCTTTTACATCAACCTAATCCGAAGCCCAGCTTCACCTTTGCTGCCCATTTTTTAGGAGGGAAGTACTTACAATGCCAACTGTATTGCCAACTTCCAGGGTTCAGAAAATTCTCCTACCTACCCTTGCACATGACTACATCCATAATTATATTGTACTTTCATGTAGATTTTAATTGTAAGCTGCTTTAGGAGCCAGTCTCAGCTAGGAAACAGAAAGTAAATAGAATGAATAAATAAGGACCAGATTCACTGCTTCTCCTCCCAGTGGGATGTGGCTGTTATGGACTGGGCTTCAAGACCTAGGCCCACGTTGACCCTCCTTGGGGAAAAGATGTGCATCCTTTGTGACTGTTTATCCACTTGCATTGTTCTTCCATAATGAGTGATCTTGGCTTCTCCCTTCCTTAGAACCAGTGAAGCCTCTTTCCAAGTGAAGGACAAGAGTTGCTTCATGCATGTTCTAAAGCCCTTTTTAATTTAGTCTGTCCTGTGATCTAGGTGGTGGTGGATGGCAACGTTTCCACGGCTGTGCTGAAAAATCTGATGTCTATCACTGAATATCAGATAGCTGTATTTGCCATATATGTGAGCTCTGCCAGTGAAGGACTCCGGGGTACAGAAACTACACGTAAGTTGTGGAATGAAAGAAATAACAATTAGTCTTGGATGCGAAGGATGTCATTCTATGCATGTTTAAGCCACAAAAGGACATGCTGGACATTGTAGGGCTGTTAGGCTTTATAACAATGCATAGGATTGCACCCCAAGCTATGCTTTAGCTGGGTAGCTTTGTTGTCGTTGTTGTTGTTGTTGTATACAGTCAAATTGTTTCCAACTATGAATGAGTGCCCTCCAAAACCTCCTGTCCTTCACAACCCTGGTCAGCTCTTGTAAACTCAAGACTGTGGATTCCTTTATGGAACTGAAATTTGGTTTTCCCTTCCTTTTTCTGCCTTTAACTTTCCCCAACATGATTGCCTTCTCTAGGGAGTCTTGCCTTCTCATGATGTGCCCAAAGTACGACAATTTCAGCATTGTCATTTTTGCTTCTAAACTGGGTAGCTTAGCACAGTTCCATTCTGGAAATTCAGGAATGAAGCAGCATTCAAGGCTCAGAAAACTGCTGCTTTCCAGGTTTGCCCTTCATGCTGTTTGGCATGAAGGGCAAAACAGGAAGTGATATTAAATGTGTCATTAGGAAACAAGTAGTGATTTTTAAAGTAGAGGTCCCAGTAGTGTAGAGATTTAATGCAACCAGAGCTTTGGGCGGGGAGAGGGTGGAGTGGATTTATCTCTTCCCTCCATGGAGGTGAAGCCCAAAAGGTCCTTTCCTTTGAGCTCCATTGGTGCCATGAAAGTGGGGGCAACATGTGAGTCAATTGGGGGTCGTTGTGGGTAAGGAAGAAGAGGCAGAACTCCCTATGAAAATCAGGAGTCACCCCACTTATTTAAAATCCCTCATGCACATTTGAGAGATGCATCTAATGTCGCATGTCGTTTGGGCCTGAATTTACCATCATGTTGAAGAAGAAAATTTTAGGTTTCTTCTGACACTCCCCTTGCATGGTCAGACTGTACACATGGATTTTAAAATGTAGTGAAATAAAGCTGAATATGTGTCAGTATCTTCCCAAGAGACTTTAGTTGTGAGAAAACTATGAGGCAATCCTTTCATGCCGAGAACAAAGATCTGACTTTCCTAATAAGGCAGTGCAATCCATACACTGGAAGTGGAGCAGAGGTCTTCACTTGAGATAGATTCCCCCATGTCATTATTTGAACAGTTTCCACATCAGGAAAGTTGATGTTTGTTCATTTTATCATTACGGAAGAGATTTTCATGTGAGAGATATTCAAAAACTCCTCCATGGTAGCATGTTGTAAACTTAACTGTGAACATGGTTTTCTCAGAACCAAATTTGCATATTGGGCTTTGTCTTGATTGAGAGCTTTGTCACGGATCAGCTTTAAAATCATTGCTGTTTCAGTTGGTATGAGAATGATAAGACTGTGTTGACCAGATTTATGGATGCCTCGTGTCTGTTTAGACTTATGCATTAACAGTTAAAAAGTGTTAACCAAAAGTGGAGCATTACTGAAGCCACTTAGTCCTAGACATGTTTATTCAGGGGTAAGTTCCACTGATTCAGTTGAGTATATTCCCAAGTACAGGCACATAGAATTGAAGAAGTAAGGTGCAATCCTGTACATGTTTAACCAGAAACTGGTCCCACTGTTCCCAGCATTCCTTCTGCCAGCCATGCTGATTGGAGCATGTTGGGAATTGTAGGTCTGTAAGGCATGTCAAACAAATGACAACTTTTCATTGGGGTGGCTTTTCTCTTGTTTCCACCTAAGGGGAGGCTGCCAACAATTTCTTTTGAGTGGCTATTGCAGTGTATCCTATCATAGGGAAAACTGGATTAGGATCAGAGGAAGGAGTGAAAATTGGCAGAAGTTGCATCAATAATGTGAGATATGCAGGTGATATTATATTATTGTCAGAAAGCAGCAAGGAACTAGATCAACTCCTTATAAAAGTGAAAGGATGTGCAGAGCTGCAGCTGAACATTAAGAAAGCAAAAATTATGACTTCGGGAGAATTACACACAATCAGTGTCAACAATAAAGAACCTGAAATTATGCAAGATGTTGCACAGCTTGGCTGAATCATCAATCCAAAGGGAGACTGCAGTCAAGAAATTAGAAGATTGTGACTTGGAAGGTCTGCAATGAAGGAACTAGAAAAGATGATCAAGTATGATGACATTTCCCTGGAGACTAAGGCCAAGATCATCCACGCTATTGTATTCTTGATCATTCTGTATGAGTATGAAAGCTGGACAGTGAAGAGCACTTCCAGGAAGAAAGTGGATGCATTAAAATAATGATGCTGGTGGAAAGTTTTGCAAATACCCTGGACTTAACGAAAGATAAACACATGAGTCCAAGGTCAAATCAAGCCAGAACTTGCCTTGGGGGCTAAAATGATTAAACAGGAGCTGTCATGCTTTGGGTACATCAAGAGAAGGCAAGTATCACTGGAGGAGACAATGATGCTAAGAAAAGTTGAAGGCAGAAGAAGAAGAAGAGGAAGAACAACAATGAGATGGATTGACGCCATGAAGGAAGTCACAGCCCTGAGTTTACAAGAGCTGAGCAGGGCTGTGAAGAACAGGAAGGTTTTAGGTCATCCATTCAGTGGATCACTAAAACTTGTAAACAATTTGATGGCACAGAACAACAACAACAACGAATTGTCATCTATCCTGGATACTGTAGACGGAATGGCGGGACTTCTGGCAAGCGTGGTCACAGCTCACTTTGTGCTGCTGTTTCTGGGCTGTGAGTGTGTAAGTCCATGGAAGGACTGGATTGTTCTGCTCCCTGGTGTCAACTGTCAGCCAACACCTCAGAAAAAATTTTGACCAGTGCCAGCCTAGGACAGCGCTGCTTGAAAGGCGTGTGCAATTTACATTTTGAACAGTTTGCACCAAGACCTTTTTGCTTAGTTTTTTGAGCATCATATCTTTAGGAATGCTTCGGTTGCTTTTAAAGTATTCATATCTGACATATCCTTGCCTACATGATTTTGCCATTTTTGCAGTTTTGGTTAACATTACTGACTTAGGACTTCTTATTACTGACTTATGGGACCACTTGAGATAGGGTCCATTCCTCTTGCCGCTTCTTCAGTGCAAATTTCAATGGAAGGTCTAGAAGAAAGGACAGTTTCTCCCTTCCCCAGTGGAAGCTGAGGGCCAGGCAACTCACTGCTCATGTTTGCAGAACATGCTAAAGCTCCTGGGAATCCTAACATAGGAACATAAGTCAAGTCATGCCGGATCAGACCCAAGTTCCAACCAGTCCAGCAGTTCATCCACATGGTGGCAAAACAGCTGCCCACAGGTTCCCTCAAGGAGGATGGGTAAAGGAGTTCTGCCTGCCCAAGCTCCCCAGCAACTGATGTATGCAGGCCTCTGAAAATGGAGGTAGCGAATAGTCAACGATGCTTGTCGCCTTCTCCTCCCTGAATCTGTCCATGCCTGTATAATTACAGCATGCAAAGGGCGCTCAGGAAGCCTCAGAATTATGCCATACACGAGGCCTGAGATAGACATGCAGGTAATATCTATTATACCGTGAACCTCCAGGGTCAGAACTTGGAATTATAGTTACTCAGTCTTAGTCATCATCTGCACCACCTAGCAGTCTTGTCACTTTTGAGGATGAATTATAACCAGCAAATTTCTGTATTTAAAGAACTATCACGAGAACAGGAACCCTGCCCTCCTTTGTGTCTGATCTGAACAACAGTGTTACTCAACTTTTTGACAGCTAAGACTCCCCCCTCCACACACACACACACACACACACATGCAAACACCACTGAATTAACATTGAGATGCTATCCATTCACAGATATCCTTTTTAGAATAAGGACTGGCCATCCTCAGAGAAAGCCACCCTAGAGCTTATGTAGTAGAAAAGCAGGAAAGAAGATGCTCAATTTTGCAATGAACCCAGAAGTAAATGCAGCAAAAGGCTTGAGGTATTTATCACAGCACATCAGTAGTTCACAGAAAACTAGTGTGTCCTAAGAATGGGAATTAGAATCTGAAATGCACATTTGCTTATTGAACTCAATCAGATCTATTTCTGAGTAAAACATGGATTTTATTGTAAAATTAAAATATATACGTGTGTATGATCAACCCTGCTCAGGAATTGGTTAATGACTTATTCCATGATAAATCCTGAGTCTCACCCAGTAACATCACTTCCCATTGCACCTGGATGTCTTTTGAAGTCACTCCTTCAAGTTCTGACTGGTCGTATGCCTGCCCTGTGTATTTTCGGAGAAACATTGCCTTAGGTAGAATGTCTCCAAGCGCTGTTTTAACAAATCTTTGCTAGAGTGTCATAAAGCAATAGTCTGAACTGTGTAAATATTAATCATTCTAGGTAACAAGGCAAGTATTTTTTTTATGGTGGCAGGAGGAGCTGATGGAAAAAATTACAGTTTACATATTTGACCTTGGAGGGAGATAGTGACAGGTTAAAATGATATGCCAATATGAAACCCAGACAGCTTTGCAAAGGGTGCATTAAAGACAGTCTTAACTGAACATAGCAGTTAGTGGCTGAGATAAATACGTTCATGCCATGAGGATGTGAGTCATGGGAAATGACTGATAAGTGCATTTTTATGAGGGTTCAGGCAAAAGGGGCTAATAAGAAGTAATAATAAGGGTGGAACTCCCCTCTTTCACATTCGCCCTTTGCACTTGGTTAGAATATTGATCTGAAATTCAGCAGTTTGGGGTTGTAGCCCTTGTTGGCCATGAAGCTCCTGGCTGACTCCTGAGCTAATTGCTGGCTTTCCCCTTTAGAGTAAGGATAAAAATACAGTGGAAGAGGATAATGTAAGTTGTTTTGGGTTCCTTGCAAGAGAAAAAAAGGTGGACTATAAATGGAATCATACAAGGATACATCAGTAAAGTCAAAGGCCATCCTACATAGGTCTTGATGCAGTTGGGAACCATGACTCGGTGGTGGTACCCCTGCTTTGCACGGAGAAGACTGAGTTTACTCCCCACTTTCTGCAAGTATGGCTGGAAAATGCCTGGCTGAAACCCTGGATCAGGTGGCCTGGTTCAGCACATGGCGCATTCCTAGTGAATCACGTTCCTTTGCACTTCGGCCTTCCTCTCTGTGGAGCTTCACTGTGTGGACAATGAACCAGGGCCAGGGAGCTGTGCCAGTTTGCTGGTGGAAAGAAAATTGCTGGAAGAGCATCCCCTGCTTCTTCCTTGCAGTTCTGTGTACCCCAGAAGACTGAGGAACTCTCTGGAGTAAATTGGGAGAGCATCTGGGGACTGCAGGGAGCAAGAGAGCAAAAGCAAGTTCTCAAACACCACTGGGAGTTCACTTCTGCTACACTGGATTTAAGACAGATTGTACTCAATAAGAATGGGCAATATAGTAGAAAAGCAGGAGTTATTATGAGCCTCTTTTTCCTATCCCTGATGAAATGGGATTGCAGAAATTAGGTCATTCTGCACCTTATTAATCAAGCAAGCTTTGCCTGAATAATTAAAGAGATGCAGGTGGCGCAGTGGTTTAAACCGCTGTGCTGCTGGGCTGGTTGATCGAAAGGTCGCCAGTTCGAATCTGCACAGCGGGGTGAGTTCCCTTTGCTCCGTCCCAGCTCCTGCCAACCTTGCAGCTCGAAAGTATGAAAATGCAAGTAGATAAAAAGGTACCACTTTGATGGGAAGGTAAACAGTGTTCCATGCACTGGGAGTTCACTTGTGCTACACTGGATTTAAGACAGATTGTACTCAATAAGAAGAATAAGGAATACAGTAGAAAAGCAGGAGTTACTATGAGCCTCTTTTTCCTATCCCTGATGAAATGGAATTGAAGAAATTAGGTCATTCTGCACCTTATTAATCACACAAGCTTTGTCTGAATAATTAGACACAACTCTAGTAGCACTGGGGTTCCAGCAACATTTGCTGATCAATCATTCAAAAAAATCATTGGGTTTATTATAAGATGATACTTTTTGGAGAAAGTGGTTTGATTTGCAATGCCTAAAGGAATTATTAGATAATTAGCTGCCTTCAGGGCCATTTTGGTGCAGTGTGGTGCAGTGGTTAGGAGCACAGGACTTGGGCTCAGGGGATCTGGGTTCTAGTCCTCACTTGGTCGTGAAGCAAACTGGGTGACCTTGGTCCAGTTACAGATTCTCAGCCCAACAACACTGGGTTGTTGTTGTGAGGATAAGATTGAGAACAGCAGGAGGAGGAGGATGTAAGCTGCCTCGAGTTCTTTTAAAAGAAGGGAAGGGAAGGGAAGGGAAGGGAAGGGAAGGGAAGGGAAGGGAAGGGAAGGGAAGGGAAGGCTATTCGCCACTAGTGTCTCAGAATGGGTTACAATAAAATCTAATATAAATAGATATAAATCTAATAAATAAATTTTCTTCGTAGGAAAATGGGGTACAAGTCCACTGATAATTATGATACATGTTTCCCCCACTGCAGTTGCTTTGCCAATGGCCTCCGACCTGGAGCTGTACGACGTGTCTCACAGCAGCATGCGAGCGAAGTGGAAGGGAGTCGTGGGTGCCACTGGCTACATGATACTGTATGCTCCTCTCACTGATGGGCTAGCAGCAGATGAAAAGGAGGTGAGGGGGCCGGCGTCACTCAGGAGCCCTGTTCCAAACACAGAATCATAGGCGTGCCCAACCCTTGCGTCGAGGCATGTGCTTGCATTCCTGAAAGGCGGCAGTGGAAAACCTTTTGGTCGTTGTGCCTAATCTTGCAGTTGAGCTTCAACTGATCCAAAGCCTGCAGAATACGCCTTTTCACTCTTCCTGCCTCTTCCCCTTCATCTGGCACCCCTTTCTCTCTCTTTCTCTAACACTCTTTTTTCTCTCTGCCTTCCTCCTCCTTCCTTTCCTTCCCCACACAGTCTGCTGACGGAAAAAGATCATATCATTCCTGCCAGAAGTCTGAACTGATCATGTGCAGAGTGCTTTTGAAATCAGGCTGAGGGCCACAGGTTGCTCATCCCTGAAAACACTGGCCCTGCAAACACTTTATTAGAGCATATGCATTAATTTAAACCAGGGATGTGCTGGACCACCTGTTGCTGGTAGTCTTGGAACAAATCCTTGCCTAGCAGGACATTGTCACAATCCTGCACAATGCTATGTGAGTAAGACCTGTATAAATGCAATGACTTAACATACTGTTAGCTGTGCTTTTTGGACTGAACAGATGCTTAGGTCTACCTTTGAGGAAGTTAAGCACACAGCAAGTACGGAACAGAATATGAAAACTGCCCATGTTGCCACAGTCCCACTTTTAAAGAAGAATGTGGGTGTCGTACCATTAAATTGGGTGCCCTCCTTTTAAGGTTCCAGTTGTCCCTTGAACAAGCATCTAATCCAAGTTTTGAAAGGGATTTTGTCCATTCTTATCAGAGATGTTGTTTTAGATTGTACCTGGAATTCAGGAAGCTTTGGAGAATCGTGAGGAAAGGGATATTCAAGGAATTGTTTGTTTAGTGCGTTTATATCTGGCTTTTGTCCAAGGAGCTCAAGGTTGTCTTCCTGTTTTATCTTTACAACACCCCTGTGAGATAGGTTAGTCTCGGGAACAGTGATGGGCTCAAGGTCGCCTTCTGAGTTTCCTGGCTAAGTGGGGGTTCACATCTGGGCTCGGAGTCAGCCTTCTCCAGTGTGATGTTTTCAGATGTTAGGGACTAAAACTCCAGTCAGTCCAAGCCAGCATGGCCAGTGGGGGAGCATATTGAGAAGGCCTGCTCTCATTACTCCACTGTATGTTGTATGATTCTAATATTTGCTAATAACGTCAAGCTGCATTTATTTATTTAAAGCTTTTCTATCCTGTCTTATTACAGAAAGTCTCAGGATGGTCTTGGTTGTAGACATTTGGCTTAGTTGTAGACCTAATCTAAGATTGCCATGAGCTGTACTGAAAAAGAGCACCAATCCTCTTGACTCAGCTAATGTAAACTGCTAAGAACGTAAGAAAAGCCATGCTGGATCAGACCCAAGGTCCGTGGAGTCCAGCTCTCCATACACATTGATGGCAAACCAGCTGTCCACAGGATCCCTGCAGTAGGATGGCGGCAAGGCCTCCTCCTGCCCAGCTCCTTAGCACATTGTGTATGCAGGCATGCCACTTGAGGAAAGGAGTCAGCACATGGCCAGCAAGACTAGTAGCCACTGATAACCTCCTCTTCCATGAACCTCTCCAGTCCCCCTTTAAAGCCATCCAGACTGGTGGTGATCACAGTGAAAACCCTGAGCTGGGAAGGGACACCATCTTGATCTCGCCCCTCAATTTCAGCATGCGAAATTTCATTAATACCCGATCAGGTAAGAAGCAGACAAAAGCATGCAAGGCTGTGGAAAGAATGCAGAGAAGCTATTAAGAGCTTGCCTTTTGTTCTTTGTGAAGGATATTGCCATGGGAATGCTCCCTCTCACTGGAAACTTCTGAATTCAGCAATTCTGAGAACCTTGCCCGATAGACAGATTTCTCAAGAAATGAGTCACTCATTATTATTACTATTATTACGCCCCTTGAAGGTGCTCCAGGGGACAAAAATATTAACTTTAAATTGCAAACTGCATCTGAACCTCACCTCACAGAGAGGCTTGTTAATGCGCTCATCACCGCTGCCTCCTTCCACCTCCACAGTCAGTTTATCGCAGCGGCCATTCTCAGCTGCATCTCCTTTATTGTTGCAATGGAAACAATCCCACAAGAGAAATCTTGCGGACTTTCGTTACTATTATTATTACGTGGCATTTGTATCCCACCCTTTTCCTCTTGCAAGGAACCCAAGGCAGCTTACATGGCTGCATTTTTATTCCCACAACAACAACCCTGTGAGGCAGGTTGCACTGAGAGTGACTGGTCCAAAGTCATCCAGTGAGATACTTGGCCAAGAGAGGACTCGAACCCAGATCTTCCAGGTCCCTAGTCATGCACTCTAAGCACCACACCACACTGGTTCTGCCAGATATTTTCCTCCTTTAGCATCATGTTGTGTCCTCAACCAACAACCTGAAAAGACTACTGTATCTCTGGTGGACAGAACCATACATTTCTAGAGCTGGCTGAAGTGGTTCTTAAGCAGAAGCTAAATTGTTCCCCCCACCCCAGCTAGAAGGACCAGTTTGAGAAGTTTGTGCTGCACCACTGAGACCCCAATCTCAGCCTTCACCTGCCCTGCTTGCCCCAGTCATCGTGAAACCTGAAGCAAGGCGCTTCACCCTGCAACATGGCAGGGCTGGCCTTGGATGCTCTTTCTTCAGATCATCACTTTGAAAAGGAACACTCTAACCTTTCTTCTGCTACTTCTCCCTGCAATAAGGGTGCAGGATCTATTTCTGGCCTCTGGGACATTTTGGCAACACTCTGGGGGTCACTTTGGGGGTGCAAAGCAAAAGGGATAAGGCCCCAATAACAAAAATTACCAGCATATTTTAGCTGAAAGCTCTCACTGCCCCCAAGTAAGCCTTAAGAAGGGCATTTCAGCCTTTTATAACTGGGAACAATTATACAAATGCTGGTAAACCAGAAAATGATACATGGTTGGGGTAAGCTGGATAGGAGCAAGGGAAGCAGGTGGGGTTTTCCTGGAAGTCTCAGAGGACCAACTTTGGCCTTTCAGCTTGAAGTTCTGCCCCCTGACCCCTAACTCCTTCTCCCATTCATGTGTCACCCAGCAAGAGTTCTAAACCCATGTTTTCAATGCACAGGATCCTCCTATCATTGCATTGCAGAGGTGAAAAGGGGGCTCCAGTTTCAAGACATGAATTGTTGGCAGTCTTATTCTGCCATGGAAATGCTTGCCTTGCAAGGAAACACATTGTGTGAGCTGCCATGCAGATTAAGACACCATTTTCAAAAGGGGAGGAAGGAAGGTAGATCTAGGTTTTCTAGTAGGTTTCTGTGTGATTTGAAGTAGATCAGCAAGGATTTGGCTTGCTTTAACAAGAACAATAGCTCCACAACAACAGTGAGGTAGGGTGTGCTGAGAGTCTGTTATTGGCCCAAAGCCACCCAGTCGGTTTCTGAGCAGGGGCTGGAACCCAGACTGCTTGAGTCCCAGTTCTGTGCTTTTAACCACTACGCCACAGAGCTGATATGAGTCAGTTCTACATTAACATTCATCCATACCCTAAGCCCTGCTTTTTTGCCTAGGATATAGGCCATTCACATACCTGAAAAACTCCTCCCACCTGATTCTACCTATTCAAGCTAATGAATTCATTTCTGAGCTGATATTTCTCTTTTCTCATAGATGAAAATCGGAGAAACCTCGACCAGCATTGAACTGGAAGGTTTGCTGCCCAATACAGAATACACAGTCACGGTTTACGCGATGTTTGGTGAAGAAGCCAGTGACCCTCTTACAGGGCAAGAAACAACACGTAAGTGACTCCTGTCCCCTGGGAAGGCTGTCTGCCTGGGAAGACAAACACCTGGTTTTGAACTCTGGTATGGAATCATTCCCCAAGAGGCTATTTTGGGAGGGCAGGTAGGAAGCAGGTAGGAAGTTCTCCCAGCTCAACTGTGATGTATTAATATCCTTGGAAGAAACAATGCCATTGATAATTGTGGGGTATTTTAAAGAACAACCAAAATATGCTACTTTGGGTGAAGTTTCAATATAGCCAGGAACAGAATTTTAAATTTGGCTGCGAAGATTAATATTATTAATAGCACTATTATATTAATGCTACATTAATTAATATAGCATTAATATAATATTGATATGGCTGAGAGCCAATGTGATATGGTGGTTAAAAGCATGGGTCTGGCGCTCCGGCAATCTTTCTTCTAGTCCCCTCTCAGCCATGGAGCCAACTAAGTGACTTTGGGCCAGTCACAGACTCTCAGCCCAACCTACCTCACAGGGTTGTTGTTGTAGGGATAAGATTGAGAGCAGCAGGAGGAGAATGATGTAAGCCACTCTGAGTTCTCTAAAACAGAAAAAGGTGGGATATAAATATAATAAATCAATATTAATTTCATTCTCTATTACCCCAGAGCTGAAGTTCTCCAAGCAACAGTTATAACACAACAGTTCATCCTTCCCACAAAATAATTTTCTTTTTACCTCTTCTTGCTGAAAATGAGATTGCATTCATTGTTGTTACTCCAGAATGTTATTTACCATCTGTGTGTTTATAGACCGGATCCAAAATGTGTGCACACACAAACTCACACACACGCTAAACATCTCTCTCTAAGGCACAATTACATGGGAATCATTCTTCTGTAAGGTTTCCTAGCTGTCATGCCAATACAGTGTATACACTCTGGCAAGACTTCTACTGGAAATGTTCCTAGAAAATTGTGTCTAGAACTGGAGATACCCCAGCTGGCCCTTGCTTTTCCTTGTGGTGTTACAGGGGGATCCGGACTTTCTGCATCAAAACTGTCTATGCTGTTAAACATACAATGGCAAAAAGAGAGGATGAGCTGCATCAGACCGACTTACAAAATGGTGTGCATATATGCACAAAATAAGAGCCCAAAATTAAAAGAAAGGCTTTTGGAAAACTGTATTTTTGAGTAGTGCCTAGCCCTTTTCCCACTGGCAGTTTTTCTGCTCAGAATCACCTCTGCTGGGTTCTAGATGTGTGTTATCCCTGCCAACAGGGAAATATTGGGAGCAAAGTCAATTCTGGGGCCAGAAAGCCATCAGCTAAGGGCAAACAACAGAACTTTTGGTAAAGTTGTACTTGGACATTTCTCCCTCAGACTGCTAGAGATATATGTATGTAATGTATTTCTATGAGAAAGAATCCTCTGCACATGGAAAACTAGCACCTTAGGGTTAAAGCTAGGCTTGCACCATTCTTCTAGTTCTATATGGGTTCAAAGGCTTTAATACGGGTGCAAGATTCTCCCACACGCAGTCTGAAATGGAATAGTCTAGGAACAGTTTTACTACATGAGCTACACTGAGTAGTTTCAAATGAGTTTCTTGAGGTATTCAGAGAGAAGTTCACAATATCCCTGAGGGTTCGTATCTTATTTCATTCATAATGTATGTTGCGTATCACAAAATATTCTATCTTTGACATGGCAGTGTCCATCTAGAAAAACAGGTTTCATGAGAAGGGAAAACTTGCAAATCACACATTTTGACAGTATAAACACAGTAGTAGGGAACTAATTATATGCCAACATTGGAATAATTTCCACTGGGGCTAAATTCCTTTTAAATTCAAGTCCCGTGGTGTAAGGGCCTTGTTCTTTACATTCACCTGTCTTTATACCTAAGAGATGCTTAAAGAAAACAAACACAACATATTCATAATTTTGACTTTCCTTCACTTTTTCAAGTGCCTTTAAGTCCACCGCAAAATCTGCAATTTTCAAATATTGGACACAGCTCAGCTAAGATAACTTGGGATACTCCTTCTAAAAAAGTAAAAGGTTACCGCATCATGTATGTCAAGACAGATGGAACAGAAACCAACGAGGTAAGCAGATGCTTAAAAATAGTATGCTTAAAAAATAGACCCAGATATAATATGACATAGCTATATGACCCTGCCAGTAATTGATATGACAAGAGCCAGATTTACTATTTCCTCTGAGTGAGAACAGTTTTTGGAACTTGATGCAAAGTTCCAGAGCTCTGAGAAAGGACAGTATTCCAAACAACAATACAAAATATTCCAAATATTCCAATATTGCAATAGCATCTGAAGACTTTCTATCATCCATAGCTCTTTTCCCAGTCTGGTCAGATTCTGGGGCAGCATGGAAATAGGGTTTTTGTTGCAGCATGCACACCTGTGACCAAAACAAAACAAAACAAAACAAAGCATAACACTTACTAGCAAATGTACTCAGATAATCAATTCAGTTCTCCACCAGGGTTCACCTGGGTCTTATGGGATCTTCTTTTTGGATGGTAACATCCACTATTTTACTTGCTTCAAAATGTGGGAACCGAGCCCTGCCGTGTTCGGGCAGGTATTTTGGATGCCAGGTTACAGTAGGGAATTGGGATCATGATTAGGACGGACTCATATTAATGAGTGCAGATGATGATTCCCTAGCTGACCTTCCCTCTCTGCCAGTAAATTGTAGTAATTAACTTTTATTATAACTTTTTAAAACCCAAACAAATATTAAAAAAGAAAATATAAGTGCATAGATTTGAATATCACTTTCAATGCATGTATATTACGTGTGTGTGTGTGTGTGTGTGTGTGTGTGTGTGAGAGAGAGAGAGAGAGAGAGAGAGAGAGAGAGAGAGAGAGAGAGAGAGCGAGCACAGCTTTTTGAGCATTATATATACTGTAGCTTCTAGCAATGCTCCATATGTGCATTTTATAGAGCCCTCAAACTATTTTCTCTTCCCTAAAGAGATACCACACCATAAATATTACAAGTGGTAGAAAACCTGCTGCTTTGATAAACTGTTTTGGGCTTTTAAAATGCACAAGCCCAAGTCTGTATTATTTTTCCAAAACCCATCTTTGTTTTCTGTTAGCGCTACAGCTTGTTTTTGTTCTTCTTCACTGCCTTCCATAGGACAATGGCTTGGTTCTTAAACAGAAATACAATTTTGAACAGAAGTGCGATTTGTGGTTGATGCATTGTTATTGCCTTTTTAAAGTGTCCTGTAAATTGTTCTCTTTCCTCTGAAGCCCAGATAATTTAGTTCAGCAGGTAAGATCTAGCGGTGTGTGAAAGTGAGAACTGTTCAGTTCTCTGTCTTCTTCATGGCCAAAAGGAAGGAAATGATCCATTTCTTCCAGTAAGATGGAGCGGTTGCCAAGCCACTGAAGGGCACATCTTGGCATCTCATCCCCAATTCTATCTTCAGGTGTCAGGAAACCACTAGCTTGAAGCAAGCCTATTTTTGACATCCCGATGGAGGCTCGCCACCTTGCTTTCTAATCATCAGTCATCTTTTATCCTGCAGGAAGAGGTTGGTCGTGTCTCCACCCACACCCTGAAGAGTCTCACATCCCTCACAGAATACACCATCGCTATTTTCTCCATTTATGAGGAAGGCCAATCAGATCCGCTTACAGGCAGCTTTACCACAAGTAAGTCTGGCTGCATTTTTGAATGCTTTCCAAGTCTAGCTATGATACTCCCTTTCTTTTCTGGAAAGTAATGTGATTACAGCATTCTCCTTCCACAGTTTTTATGTTCAAGAAAAGGAGTGTTTCCCCCCACCCACTTTTCATTCCCCTGCCAGTTTGGAAGCTTCATATTAAAACAAATGCAAATGAACATTTTGTCTAATTATGCTATAGAAAGAAAGAGAAAGACATTTAAGGCAAGTTAAGTGTTTCAGGCTTCACTGAACAAATAATTTAGATGAATCCACATCATCCCCATGCCTTTAAGAAGTGCCAGTTTTCAACATTTGGTTGCGTTGATTTCTTTGACCACAAAACACATTGCCGTTACAAATCAGAGAAGAAATAAGGGAATCACTCAGTGGGGGTCTTTTCTTCTCTTGCCTTGTTTTGCCTTTAAAAAGGATGCAATAAAGCAAATGTGCTAATAATGCGCATTATGTGCCCTGTCCTTTAAACAGTTGATTAAGACCCCTGATTACAGTCTGAACTGAGAGGTTCCTGGTTCATAGGTTTAAATAGTCTAGCAGGACATGTCAGACATTTAGGGCTTTGCCAGTGTTCTGTCAGAAAGAACTTCCCACAACAGGGCAGAGCAAAATCCATCTTGCCCTCATCTTGCTTTCCACCATGTTCCTTCTCAGCACATTCGCCTCCTGCAGAATGGCTTGCTAAGTCATTACTTCTCATCATTTGGCAATAGTGGCTGATGCTGGTGTAGTAGTTGGTTTTGCTCAGCTTTTTTCAATCTGGTGCCTTCCAGATACATTGACCTGCCATTCCCATCACCTCAGGTTCAGGCAGGATGACTAAACCACTGCAGAGATTTTAACTTCTTTCAGCCTAAGGGCCAAATTCCAGCCAAATTCCATTCCCGAGAAGCTCTTATGGGCATCATCTCGGTGGTGATTGGGGCTGAGGCAGGTTGAGGCCACCCATTCAAAAAATATCGGGTTTTTTGAATAAAAAAAACCCCGAACTCTGGAGCAGCGGATTTGGTCCTCAGGCTGGCTGGAGTTGTTCCCATGTCTGAGGCCCTGATCACTTGCTCCACTATCACCCCCCGGAGCTGCTCCTATCACCTGTGCAAAAAATAAACTTTCTAATATTGGTGAGCTCGCAACCTTTGTGCTTCTGTTTCATAGAATCATCACAGAATTGGAAGGTCATCATGGGAAACAGACAGATCTCATGTATCTTCCCTGTGTTATTTTGTCTTTTAGAAAAAGTGCCATCACCTCAGTATTTGGAAATAGATGAAGTATCTACAGATAGCTTCAGGGTCAGCTGGAAGCCTCCGTCTGCTGATGTTGCCCTTTATAGGCTGGCATGGATTCCACTGGGTGGGGAAGAAGCGGAAGAGGTGATTGTTCTGGTCTTTCATACAAGATCTTGCCCTACTAGTGGGGAACACGATGTGATGATCTGCATATGTAGAACGAAAGAAGCATGATATCTCTCAGGCCTGGCTGGCCAATGCTGGAATAGTATGACTGATTTTTAATTCATTTTTAGTAAGACCCCAGAGAACCAACAATGTTTGTGAATGTCGTTAAGGTAGGAAGCAATGTGAGTAGCTGGGCGAATCTCATGAGATGCATTTACGGTTGGCACTGTAATTCTCTAATCTGATGCTCTTCATTTTGAAGTTCATCTCGGTGAGCACCGCAGTTGAATAACCTGCCTTTGTATCTATTCCTCCTTCTGTTTAAGATTGTGTTAAGTGGAGAGGTGGATACTCACCTGATTGAAGGCTTGCTACCTAATACAGAGTATGAGGTGTCCTTGTTGGCCATCTTTGATGATGACAGTGAAAGTGATATTGTTGCTGCACTTGGAACCACAAGTAAGTCAGGAAAGGTGGCAATCTCCCCACACCCCTTGATTCTAATGCATGCTTCCTAGAAGAAGAGGTGCCATGGCCCAAGATTGTCTGGAAACACTGCCTAATCCCTGGTGCATCCTGGCCAAGCCTGGAAATGGCTCAATGCTTGCCTCCCATCAAATAGCAGCACTGAGCTAATGATAATAATGCCATCCATCATTCCTTCCTGCATTGACCAAAGTATCCGGCGCTGAGGTTCTTCCCATTCATCTAGTCTCCAGTTCAATGTCAGTTCATGACTGTTGTGTCTTCTTGATCCTGTGCATTCCGCAACAAGAACATTTTATTTTTGAGTGATGGTGACTGGCAGGAAAATAGGATTATTGAGGCTTGGGAGAATAGTGGTTTGTAAAATGAAAATTTTACCTAAGATTAATTTTTTTATTTGGGATGTTGCCAGTTAGACTATTAGGGAAAGAGTTGGAAGATTGGCAAAATATGATTAAGAAATTCTGTAATGGAGATAGGAAAGCAAGGATTTGTAAGAAGATGATATAAATCACAAAAAGAGGGAGGATTATATATTCCGAATATTACATCATACTATGAAGTGAATCAATTAAGATGTATTCCAAATATTATTTTACGAGCAGATGAGATAATATGGACAGAGATGGAACATCAAGAAATTGGGGGATCTTTTTTAAACATATTTTAAAACAAGAAGATAAGAAGAATGCAAAAAGAACAGAAAATACCTTTTTTAAAAAATTGATATGAATTTGGGAGAAGTATAGGGAAGAATTTATGCCAATCACCTCAGCAATGGCCCCAATTACAGAGATTAGAGGATTTCCAGAAAATTTGAGGGGTAGTTTAAGAAAGGTATTAAAAGAAAAATAAACAGGGTAAAAGATTGAATGGAGGAAATGGATAATAAGGAAAGGATAATGGCATTACTTGGGAAAGGAGCATTAACTTGGTTTAATGTTATGCACTTGGAAGACTGGACTAGAGAATGGTTGCAGAAAAATGGTGCGTATATGTTGGAGATGTGGACAAAATACAGGTACCTTTTTCCATATGTGGTGGGAATGTGAAAATATTGAGAAATTCTGGGTAATGATTTTAAGGAGATTAGTAGAATATTGAACTTAAAAATTGAATTATATCCTGAAATATCATTGTTGCTAATGTTTTGTGACAAGAAAAGGAAGTGGAACATTAAACAATTAATAATAAATTTGATAATAACAAAGAATTGGAAGGAGAAAGGAGATCTCCAGTTAATTGAATTGTATAAAGAAGTTTGGAATATAACTGTTAATGTCAAGTTGATGTGTGAGATAAAGGTGAAAAAGGGATTGGTAAAGAAGAATGATATTAACAATAGTCAGTGACTGGATGTACACAAGACATTTATCAGAACCGTCTCTAAAATGAGATAATGTATGAAATTATTCCTATTGCTTTTTTCAGTTGAAATGGCAACTACTGAATTGACTACGATAACCACTACTAGTACTACAACTTCCCGCCCTACAACAGCAGGTATAAAACTATATAAAGCGATGAAAAATACAGTAAAAAAGAGATTTGTTTCATAAAGTTACTTATAAATATTATGCTTTTTATATTCTCAGGATTATTGAGCTTTAATGCCTAGTGGATTTTTAAAAGCTGTTTGTAGTTAAAACAATGCATACATATTTCCAAAGTAATATTTTATTGTATTTTATTTTGTGCTGTGAGCCGCCCCGAGGCTTCGGCAAGGGGCGGCATAGAAATGTTTTAATAAATAAATAAATATTTTAAGTGATTTAAAATGTTTAATATTATTTCAGTCTTTCGAATTGGAATAAGAAATCTGGCTATTGATGAGGAAACTACCTCAAGCTTAAGAGTAAAATGGGACATTTCAGATTATGATGTTCGTCGGTACAGGGTGACCTACCTTGCGGCCAGCGGCGATCGCGATGAGGAAGTGGTGAGAACTGAGGGCATAGTTTTTGTTTGGCTGAGCTTGGGCACTTAAAGATAATTTCATAACAAACTGATAAAGGACTCCCTTGCCATAAATGACTCAATCAGTGTTGATGGTCGTCTATAAGCTAAATAATGGGTGCATAATCTTGCTTATGGTGTTGGTTTATCTATATGTTCATGCAGTGTGATCTGTATGCATAGCATTTGACAGAGGGAGGTATTCAGGATCAAACCCCATGGCCTTGTAATATGCTACTGCATGATAAGAAAATTGGTTGTCAGAATGCATCCTGTACGATCCCAGAAACAGGAAGAACAGGATTTGAAAACTGACAGAGATGCTAATTCCAGTGTACGCAAGTCAAATTCAAAAATGTTGGCTTAGCTCTGTTTATGAAAACAAAGAAATGTGTAACACATAAGTTTTTCTTTCCCACTTTGAGCATCAGTGTAACTTGATCAGTGCCTTGTTTGGTAAAATTCTACATTCTGCTGGAGCTCTCAGTCTTTTTTTTTAAATTACTGCTTTGGCAGAATGCTGCTTCTTGTAACCTTCTAATTGTATCTGCATTTCTTAGTGCTCTTTATCAGTAAAAATGTCAAAAGGGGAGTTCATTGACAATTTCTCCTTGTAAGCTATTGGACATTCCACTTAAAACTGTTACCGCTGTTATGAGTTTGGGTAGCAAATGATGCTTTTTAAATGCAATCTTTCATGTCAAAATGGGAAGTGCTGCAGATTCCTGCTGGGTGGGGATTATGGGAACTGCAGTCCAACACATCTAGAAGGCACCAGGTTGATGAGGAGAGTGCTGCAGAAGATCTTCTGTGTGGCTTTTGTCAATTTTTTAAATAGGAGAAAAAAAAGAAAGGAAGGAAGGATGTGGGTATCACTAACCTTTGCAAAGATGACATTTCAGTTTGTTTCCTTTAGTGGACTTAGCATTTGCGCTTCCCTTTTCTGCATAAGATATTTATTTATTCTGCAGCTTCATGGAGACTTCTTCCATCTTCTTTGGCAAGGGTTTTGTTGATGTTGTTGTTGTGTTGTTGTTTCATTGTGCTTTTGTTTTCTTTTGTTTTTGGAAGTTTTGTTTCTCTGCCTTCCTGTATGTTGCATTGACAAACACAAGGTGGCACCACAGTCTAATGCAATTGCTGAATTACAGGAACCTTCATTCCAGTTTATTGCACCCCTAACATGTAATACCTTACTATTCTCACTCTAAAAAGAGAGATGCAAAAATGGATGCTGCTGTTGTAGTTCTTATTTTCATTTCTATACTGCTTCTCAACTGAAGCTCTTTGGGAAGTTTTCAACAGTCCATAAAACAGTTAATAGAATACAATAAAATATATACAATCAGAAATACATGAAAAAGTTGAAACACCTAAAACCAAACAGTAACAAGGAAAGATTCAGTAAAAGACCTGGGATGGGCAAGCCCCTCAAGCCCCTGGGTATCTAAATAAGTCTTTAAAAGTCATTAAAAGTATTGGCATAGAGGGCCATCTTAACTGAGGTTATTCCAAAAGCAGGGGGCCACCACAGAGAAAGCCCCCTTCCCCCCGTGACCACCCTCTGCACTTCCCTTGGAGTGAGCACTCAAAGAAAGGCCCAGAGGCTGAGCATAGTGTCCTGGTAGATTGTACTTGGTAGAGGCACTCCCACAGTTATTGCGGTCCTTAGCCATGTAAGGCTTTTTGGGTCAAAACCAGCACCTTGAACTGGGACCAGGAGCACTCAGGTAACCAGTGCAGGCAGACCAGAACTGCTCTTCTGTATTTGTACATGCAAGTCCCAGCTGTTAATCTGTCTGCTACACTCTGCCACAACAAATGGGATAAGCCCCAAAGGAGGAGGATGTTAAACCAATAGAATAAGCATCTAAATGTCTGTGAGTGACAGTTCCCAAGCACATGACAAATGCTGTGTGTGGAGAAGGCCCTCCTTTTGGATATGCTGGTGTGCTCCAGATGTCTGATACAGCTAATCTCTGCTAATTGGTATTGTATGCTAAGCAGCTGTCGCTTTTGCTGTGGTTACACTGCATGTGGCAAGCATTTGCAGTCATGACATTCGTTGGAATGCAGTTTCATGAAACCCTGATGGCCAGAGCATTCTTCCTTCCTTGGCAGTCACATATGATACCACTTAACTCTCTTGTCATCTTCCAAAGTGATTTTTTTTTTTAAAGTTCTACCTTCGGAAAACACATTTTGTATTGCCTCAAATGCCAACAAACCCTTGAGTGGCTGCCGCAAAATCCTCGCTTGTGGCAGACAATTCTGAGCCATATTTACACAGGATGCCTGCCACGGCTTGCTCAGGCTCACCACCAACCCCATAAATAGAGAACAGTTCCAAGAATGCTCTCAACACTCCACTTTGGCTGTCAATTGCAGGAAAGATCAGAAATGGCGTACGCGTTTTCCTTCAGAGAAGCACACACATCTTTACTGATCTCTTCACCCCAACTTCCTTCTGGGACATCATTTGAAAGCTCTTGTTGTAAAGCTTCTGAACCCTAAACATAGAAGGTTTTTTGACTGCAATACCATAATTATTCCACTTTAGTCCTTAGGACTAATCAAGGTTGTTTGGAGCATTGTCCCTAAGCTCTACTTATCCCAAGCCTTGTTTCTTGTTATTTTTTCTTTATTATTTCTAAATAGTCATAGTTATTCCCTGCTTTTCACTGTTTAACGTAGTCCCTTGAATTTGCACAGTCTAGCATATTAATATCAAGCAATTAAATGGTAAGAGTGTGTCTGTGGATGTGGGTCATTTTAAAGCACAAATCCTTTCTTTCTAGGTGGACCCATCAGGCTATTTGTGATGCTAAGAGGGAACCTGCATGTATTACAGCATATGCAAGGCTCAGGCTATCTTTGTGGAGACAAAGTGAAACTATACATAAAGAAGGCTGTATCTATACTTCAAACTTAGCTGGTTTAATAGTCATTCCTGCAGGGAACCCTGGGAGCTGTAGTTCTGCAATACAAATAAAAATGTCAAAGTTTAATGTCCCTTTGCCTAACTGCAGTTTCCAAGATCGATAAAGCATGTACACCTTTGTGCATTAAAATCTTCCACAAGTCGAATTCAGAAGTCATGGTGCATATGAGATACCCAATAAATGCCATGTGGCAAAGTATCCACATGCTTTGTTTTTCTGTGGACTGAGACTGGCCCAGATGTGCTGTGACATGCAGAAACGAACCCTCAGTTTCTTCCTTCCTTCCCTTCTTGTTTTTCCTGTCCAGGTAATGGTCCCTGCGAGGCAAAACAATGTGCTTCTTCAGTCCTTGCTTTCAGACACGGAATATAAAGTTATGGTCACTCCTATCTATTCTGATGGGGAAGGTGCCAGTTTGTCAGTTCCGGGAAAAACCCGTGAGTACAAAGCATTCCGTTTCCATAAAGGCCCAGATGTCAGCTGCTTTCCCTTTTCGGCAAAGCTATTTCTCCAGGACACACTGAGAAGGATTGAATCTGTGCTGTGCTTCCCTTTCAGTGCCCCTGTTTGCTCCACAGAACCTGCGAGTCTCTGATGAGTGGTACAACAGATTGCGCATCACCTGGGATGGCCCTCCGTCACTCACAATGGGATACAGAATTGTATATAAACCTGTGAATGGTGAATATCTGAAGCGGCTGCCCATGCAGATTTATTTATGCTTTGTGAAAATCAGTCATGCGAATACCCTCTGCCTACTGAAAGTCAGTGTGGTATAGTGGTTAGAGTGCAGGACTGGGACTCAGGAGATCTGGGTTCGAGTCCCCACTCAGTGATGTTGCTCACTGGGTGCCTTTAGGCCAGTCATGGCCTCTCAGCCTAACCTACCTGACAGAGCTGTTGTGAAAGTAAAAAACGAAGAAAGGTGGGGCATGAATGTAATGTAATAATACGAATATCTAACCATGGGTCTCGCAGACAGCAGGCGAGGTGGCAAAGCTTTGTCTTGGCTTTTCTGCTCCAAACTGCACCTGAGGCCTCATGAGATTTATTTATTTATTTATTTATTTACATGTATTTGTAGGCTGCCTATAATTGCTGAGGCAGTGATCCTTCTGCCAAAGATAGAAAGCTTATCGGACAGAAAGCTAGGCTAGAAGTCTTTCTCCTGACCTGCTAGTTTTCTGCATGCAGGGTTGTTGTTGTTTTTGTAAGGGAGGAACATACATCCATGTTCTAATGTTTAATCTGATGTTTGCAAAAACCTCTAGCCTTCAGCAAGTGGTTATTTAGGCTCAAATTAACCATGACAAATTAGGTTTTTTTAAGGCATGGGCAAGGATTTTGCACACAAAAAATGGTTGCTGGGCAACATGACTAACATTGCAGACATTGCAATCCTGAGCATCTTTGCTCAGAAGTAACTGACTGGTTTTAATGGAACTAATTCCCTTGCAAGCACACTTTGGATTGCATCCATACAGCAAAGCCTTACTTCATATGTTGTTTTGTTATTGGCTTTGCCAACATCTTTTCACTTATGGCATGCTGCTAGCTTTGTACTGAAACAGGGAAATGCATCTTTTTTGGGTTCAAGTTGTGGGGAGGGGATTATTGGAACATGGACAGGCAATTCAGTGAGAATGGAAGTGAGCTAGTAACATTTGTGAACGTGTTGCAATGCCATGTTAAAGCCCATTAAACGTGAAATTATTGTTGTCACTCCTAAAATGTTTTTCATGTAAAAATGACTTGCCTCAAGCTTTCAGAATAGGCAGATGAAAAATTCAGCCAATGAACAAAGACTGTATCAGTTTGCAAATAGGAAAAACAGCTCCTTTTAAAGGTATCGCTCTTTGCTGATCGAAAATCAGGAATTATGTTTCATAGAGACTTAAAGCTAAATGTGGTTTGACCTTAAGGGGTACATTTCTTTAAGTCATTTGTATTCTTATTTCATTTCTTTCAGTCCCTGGGCCAGCTCTCGAAACCTTTGTGGGAGATGATATCAACACGATCCTCATTTTGAATTTGTTTAGTGGAACAGAGTACAGTGTTAAAGTATTTGCTTCTTACTCAACGGGATTTAGTGATGCCTTAGCGGGTGTAGCCAAAACATGTAAGAACACTCAAATCCTTGTTATCCAATTTCTAATCTCCGTGGACCATAATTCACCAGCAACCTTAGCATTATGTAGTGAACAGAATCTCAGATGGAATAATATCCCATCTGCTCTTTCTAAAGGATTTTTTTTGCCTGTTGTTGACATGAACCACCCAGGGAGCGTTGGCTATTAGGCAGTATAGGAATGTAATAAATGAAACTTGGTCATTTTCACAAATGACATACACAATGTGTGCTAGACTCCATGTGTTCATTTGGTACAGAGAGTGGAAAATATAAAAATTAAAATCAAGTGTACATCCCAATCAGCACAATAAAACTTGGACAAAGTAAAATCTTAAAATCACCTGTGAAAATAGGCATTATTCTAGGTGTATGAATCAAATGAACTTAAGTGTTTACTGATAAATCTTCAAAAATACAATTTAAAAGGAATGCATGTAAATATTCTAAAGAAGCTTCATGACACACACATTTCTGATGCTTACCAGTGTGTCTCAAGGCCAACAAAGTACCTGCACCTGGAGCAAGGCATCTGAAGAATATCTTAGTATGCAAGCAGGTTGAATTGTTCCAGTTCATTCATCTTGCCATGGGATTCTTCACCACAGAAGTTCTGTCTGATATCATGAAGAGCAGAGGGTATAGGCATCTCAAGGGACTTGTACCCCTTATCACTTTTCACCCTTCCCTGTGTCCTACTAAGCATGAAGTTCAGAGGAAGTGGACATTGTTACTTGCTGATTCACTCTAAGCAGGACAAGAGACCAAGCAGTACCTTGGATAGCACATTGCACGAAGCTCTAGCTGGAACGGTCTGCCATAAGGAGTGTTGTCTCATCAAGAACCAAGACCTTAAGAAGGCTGGCTCCGCCTGGTCTTGAGTGGTTCCACTACTTCTAGATAATGACTGAAGTTCTTAAGGGACTGCTGTCTGCTTCTGCATGGCAGAGGGCCAGGAGAAAGTTCAAGGGAGTCATCCTTAGAGTCAGATGATGGAACAGCTAGTCTTCAGGGCAGGATGCTGAAGGCTCACCAAAGTGGAGTGACCTATGGCCTCTCTAAATCTGTGTCCTCCTCTGGATAATTGGGAACCTCGGAAACAGGGGACACCATACCGAATGTCTCTGAGGCACAGTGCAGTCCTCGAGGTATCAATTTCGCCCCCATACCTGAAATGTTAAGGGAGTGTCGCGGGTTAATGTGCTGCTTCTCCCTCTTACAGAAATTCCCCTGCCCTCCCATGGTTTGGTGTATCATGGTGCAGCATAGTATCCCCGTTGCTAATGCCAACAGGACTTGGCTTCAAACTCTGTCAAGTATTAACTGTAGTTAGTGATGTTGTAGGGTATACTGCTAGCTGATAGCAAAGCATGAAAGAAAGGGAGGCATTTGAGCAGGAGAAATTAGGCAGCAGGAGGAGAGAATATGTGAACTTCTGGTATGCTAGCTATGGCAATTAGGATGGTAACTCAGGAATATATTCCAACTAGCAAATGGTGTAACAATCTCACTTAGGGACATAGGAAGCTGCCTAAGGGAAGCCAGACCAGTGGTCTATCTAGCCCAGTATTTCTGAACACTGATTGGCAGTTCCTGCCCAGGATTTTGCACTGTAGTTTTTCTTTGGCCTGCCTGCAGAAGCCATGGATTGAACTTGGATCCTTCTGCATACACTGAATAGAGCCCCTTCTCATGCAGCCATGGCTGTGCTAAAATTCTTTCTCATGCATTTGCTTATGGAAAAGGAATGGTGACTATTACTGGCACTTCTGTTGATTGCTCTGACAGATTGTGGGGCTGTGGACAGGAAATGGTTTTTTAAAGTATTTGAATGGTGTCTAATGCTTATAATGTAGAAAGGATAATGATTAGTTATAAAACCATTAATTGCCTCTGGTGAACATGTGGGCCACAGTGCAAGCGACCACACAACTGGTTCTGCATTCCCAGGGAGGAGTTGGGCTTGTACTTTGCAGATAGCAGCCTTGCCACTTAGACTGCAGAGCAAACCAATTTGGTGCCATAGAGGGAAATTGATTTCAGAGCTCTGTGTGATACTACAGTGTGTGGGGTCTGCTAGCCAAGATGGCAGCCAGTGTAGTATAGTGGTTAAGAGGGTGGTAAGAGGACTCAGGAGATCAGGGCTCTAGTCTCCTCTCAGCCATGGAGCCAACTGGATGACTTTGGGCCAGGCACAGACTCTCAACTCAACCTACCTCACAGGGTTGTTGTGGTGAGGATAAGATTGAGAGGAAGTGGAGAATTCTGCAAGTCAGCTTGAGTTCCTTGAAAGTTAAAAAAAGTAGGATATAAATACAATAAATAAAATTGCAAAGTAATAGACCACATATGCCCTGTGCCCACTGAAAGCGGCTTTTTGATAGCTAACAGTTGTGGTTAATGCTTCGCCTCTTTCCTACACTGCAGTGTACTTGGGCGTGACAAATCTGGGAGCCTATCAAGTTCGCATGACAAGTATGTGCGTACAGTGGCAACTGCACAGGCACGCAACTGCATACAGGGTTGTGATTGAATCTCTGTATGGTAAGTCAGTACATCCTATAATGCCTGTCCACTATTTGCTGTTATCTAATTCTTAATCAATATTCATTGTCATCTCACAGCAATTTCTAAGGAAGTTCAACCCATCTTGAACAGAATGATGGACAGACCCAACCTGCCAATAATGGGCCCAATCCACTAAAGAATTCCCCTTTGCAAATTGTACCGAAACTCTTGCATGTTTACTTCAGTGTGGTTTAAACTGTTTTTTTAATTAATTGTGCCTGTTGCAATTTTAAATCAGTGGAGAGATGATGAACTTTTGACTTAAAATTGGTGCTTATTCCCCCCTGAAAGTGTAGCAAAGACAGCCAGATTACTTGCAATGTCAGGGCTTGGCTTGACTCAAAACCCAATGAGATAAAGGGAGTGCCCAGCACAAATGAGACCTGTTCTCCATTCTTGGAACAAGGATCAGCACCTAGGTCACCCCTCTGAATGCTTGCATAAAGAGGACATTATTTACTGGGAAGATCAGCAGTATCCATTTCTGCTAGTCAGTTTGCACTCTTGACATGCTGCTCATGTAAGTGACCTCTACTGGCATGTCAGCCACAAAGCCTGGTGTGGTAAATTTCCCATAAGTGAACCATCAGTTTCTGATAGCGCACCATGTGTTTGCAGATGTATGTATGGACAGCTCTCTTTGCATTAAAGGAAGTCCAGGAAAAGCAGTGATAACACTTACAGGAGAAATCCCTACATTTGTAGACTCCATACAGACACTGGTATATACCTTAGTATATACCTTAGTTTCACTATTTCCAGAATCATCTCCAGTCAAATGATGTTGCAGGTTTTTATTGGCCATATAAATGTAGCACAAAATCCACCACTGAAGCTAATAATGGTGATTACAAATGAGATGTCCTCTCATTTCCTCATTAAGTTTGATTATTTAGGTAGCAGCAGGAAAAAGACTGGGAGTACCTTAAAGAGTAACAGATTTACTTGGAGATATGCTTCTGTGGACTAGGACCTGACTCATGAGATGCATGCAGGACTATCAAGCTAGCATGCCCACATGCATATCTTAGAAGAATGCATTATTTAAAACGTGCTTTTTCTTCCTGGAATTGGCATTATTATGTTGTTCAAGGAAATGTGGAGACATGACTGTTGGAGGGGGTACAAAAACTTAGGATAGAAAGAAAATCTAATTCTAACACCCCTTCACCCCCAGTTTTAAGTTTTGAAAATTTGGGGGGCAGAATTTTATTCTGATGTTGTCTTTACCCCACCCCCACCAGTCAAGCCTTCATCTATCTAAGAAAATGACAAGACAGTCCTGATCTTTTAAAGGTTCTCTCTCTAATTTAGATGGGACAAGTGGAGAAGTACTACTTGGTGGAGGTACATCCAGACACTGCTTCTTTGATCTTACTCCTGGTACAGAATATAAAATCAGCATTCATACACAGCTTCAAGAAATAGAAGGGCCTGCTGTTAGCATAATGGAGACAACATGTAAGTGAATTTTCTTCATCTGTCATATTGTACCACCTGAGTGCCATTTGTGTTGCTTTTCTCAGAGGCAGGCAGAGGTCCCATCCTATCTAATTTCTTTATAGTTTCCACCCAGTCCACTTCTGATATGACAGCATCAGGGAAACGGTATCAGGACCCGAATGAGCAGAGGTTGGGACTGCATCTAGTAATCTACCTGGGAATTTGTACAGTCCAGCCACAGGTCCCTCTTCAAGAACAGAAGGATTCATGGGCATACAACATTGTCCTCTGTGATTGGCAGGCAGATTTATGTATTTATTAGACATGTAGGCCTCCCCATTAGCCCTAGGCTCTATGGGTGGCTCACACATATTTCATGATGTCTCTGGATTGACAAGGTTTGACAAAGCTATGAAGACCTTGGCCTTCTTGGCCAGCATAGCAGTATCTTCAAGCTTTGGTACCAGAGGCCTTTAGCTCCAGTGCCTAACCTTGGTGATTCCAGATTGGAGGGTGTATGTGTCAGATCTGGAATGGGAACAGCCACCCAAATGTTCACCTGTTCTTGACTCAAGAGCACCAAAGGAAGCTTTCTCTTCTCCTGGGTGTCTTAGTGGTCTGTTTCAGTTTTCATAACTAAAATTATTAGATTTCCCCCTTCCTCAATCCCATTACCCCAAGCTGTCTTAAGATGATGTTTTGATTGAGGGTTGTTAAGTATTTAATTACATTCATTCTTTTCCCTGACCTTAAACAAGACTATCACTTCAGTGCTAATCAGGAACATGAAGGAACCCTCCCGCATATTCCGCTTGCTCAATGAACTTAATTTCTGTTCTGTTCAGCTGTTCAGTCATGTCTGACTATAAGCCATCCTATGGGCCAAATCTCGCCACACTTTTCAATCCAGCATCACCTCTTTCAGCATGATGTAAATCATGCAGATGGAGAAGGACAAAAACTGTCCCACCAAGATCTTCCAGCTAGCAGTTATGATCATGTCTCCTTTTCTATAGTTATGATGTCATTAACATAGTCATTTAAATTAGCCTTAATAGTCCATTGAAGTTCAGTATTCACCATTTTCGCTGATAGTCAAGTATGTTGCTAGAACACAGTCAGTTGTTTTATGAAGTAAGTATGCTCATCTTTTCTTTTTTCTTTTCTTTTCCCTCCTCCTTCTCCTCCTCTTTTGGTTGTCGCCTTTTGTAAGATTTTGTGGTGAAAAGGAAAAGAAAACCCATCTAAAAGCTGCACTTCACACTTCCATGCAAGTGTTTCAAAAGAAACAGAAATGGGCCAGAGCACGCCATGTGGGACTGGGGAGGGCTTGTGTCGCTCATCACCACTGACATCTCCAGGCAGAACTATTTGGCAGCCAACACAGAATTCCCCAACCTGTATTTGTCTCTGATATGTAAACCTGAAGTGGAGAAACAGACTGGTGGGCAGAGAGAAGAAAGCTAAATTGTTCCCCCACCTGTACTATTCCTCTGGCTGAGTTTCCAAAATGTATTCACCGCCCAAGCTATGTAAATAAATACCCTCTTGGCAAATGCCCCTCCTAGTCACCTACAGCAAATATGATGGAAGAACCGAGTTAGACATTCTGTTTTTGTGGAGGTTTGTTCTCCAGCACCACCCATTAGTTGCCATCAACACAGACACACCATACAATAACAGTGGATGCCTCACAAAGCAAAGAATCTTGTTATTCTAGGAACCCAGTTGAGTAGTCTTTGTGTGATCTGCTTTGATGGTTACTAGAACCCTGGTCTGCTAATCAGAGCAAGGGACAAAGTAGAAAGGAGTGGAATCCATGAGCAGCTGCAACCCATGAGTGATACTCTGCATATTCAAATGCATCTCCACATCCAAGTAACTATAGATCAGAGACTGCAATATAGGGAGACAAGAAGCAGTAGAACTGCACAAAACCTTGTCAGAATCAATCAGACCATGCTCACATTCATAGGTAAGAAATGAGATTATACAAGATTATACAAGAAGCCATGGAGAAGATTTATTTGTTTTGTTTAACTGTTGGGAGTCAGAAACCAGGCTGCAGCACATCTTGCAACAATCTTCCAGTCGATCCCAAAATACGTTCTGCCACACCTGTAATACAGCATGTCCTGTACAATGAGAATATGGTTTGTCCTGGAGGGGAAATTCTGGACCATAGCCATTGAATAGGCAATAAAAGTACATGTGTTACATTGCAAATGAATGGTCTCAGCACTTCAACGACAAACTATCCATGAGCAAACCCAACACATCTACGCATATCTGGTGCAGCGTGTACCTTTTGCTTAGTTCTCCCAGAATCTCAGTAGCACAGAGTCATATTTTTCTTCTGTTTTCACTGTGGAAGGAAAATTTGCCCTTTTCTTGGGCTTCTTTCTGGGGGTTTGTATTTTTCTGTCCTTCTGTTTATTCTATTAACTGGCTGTAACGTGCCATCCTGGTACAGCTGCATTATAGCAGAACTGCAAAGCTTTCCTAGGCTTTTGCCCTAGTTCCTTCCATTTTGGATGTAATAGCTGACTTTCCTCCTTCACTCAATAGCAAAACAAAAACAAAGAAGACGGAGGAATGGGTAGAAATCATGGGAGAGGCCTTGTGGGAGGAGGATGTTGTGAAAGGACCTACAAGAGTCCATTAGAGCCAGTGTGGTCAGGTGGTTAACATGTTGGACTGGGAATCTGGGAGATCCAGGTTCTAATCCCCACTTTGCCATGAAGCTCACCAGGTGACTTTGGGCCAGTCACTCACTCTCAGCCTAGCCCACATCACAGGTTATTTGTTGTGAAGATAGAATGGCGATGGAGGACTGTGTAAGCTTCCTTGGGCTTTTCACAAGAAGCGAAAAGGCAGGATGTAAGAACATCATCATCATCATGATCGTCATCATCTTTATGAGTACACAATAAATGCCTCGTGTAAAAAGGCAAACTATCTATGGGAAAATTATATAATTAAGCCTTGTTCTTGTTATCTCTTTCCGTAGTGCCATTCCCGACTCAGCCACCACCGACTCCTTCAACCACCACTCCTCAACCTACAATTCCTCCTGCAAAGGAAGGTATGTAATGGATGTAATAAAAATGTCAATCTTAGTGCTTCTTCCATTTTGCAAACAGTTGTTGGCCCTTCAGGCCAGGACTCTTGGATACTCAGTGGAATCTCAGTTTGAGGCCACACATGTTAGATAACTCTATTTCGCATTTTTAATCTTCATCAGATGAAACTGCAGATAGTCTAGATCCTGGCTGTCCCAGTAGTGGACTGACTTAGGGCCAATAAACTTGAAAGTTCAGACAAGCCTGAAGGACTGTTGGTATGTTTCTTTGGACAAGATGGAGCATTCTCTGGTTAGGGTTGCTCTCCTGAAGGAGCAAAGTCATAGCCTGAAGTTTCTTCTGCCATCATTAGAGGCTCAGCTGACCTCCATGGCACAGAATGTCTTCTATCAGCTTTGGAACAAGGCTGTGGCTTAGCTAAGATCCCAGCTAGACAGAGACAACTGGAGTTAGCAATTTAAGCTCCAGTAGCCTCCAAACTGGAGTACTGCAGTGTGGTCTACATGGGGCTGCCCTTGAAGGCAGCTTGGAAGCTGCAGGTTGTACAAAACGCACCATCCAGATTGATAGCTGGGGAAACCAGTAGAGATGACCACGGAACACCAATCCTGGCCCACTTGATGTGATTGCCTGTATATTTCCAAGGCCAGTTAAAGATAATTCTTCTGCCCTATCAAGCTTTATGTGGTTTGAGACTGAAATACTTCTGGTCTCTCCTGGTTTGATTCTCTCATACCTGGTATGAATCTACTATACATTACAAGGGTCAGCTGGCACCCTCCCCCAGGTGCCTGTGAGGAAGACCAATAAGGTAGTAGCAAAAGAGAGGCCCTTTTGCTGGTCACCCCCCCCCCCCCCCCCCATTATGTTCTCCCCAGTGATATTTGTTGCCAGTATTCTCAGCCTTTCAGCTCTTTATTTCCAAATGTCTGCTAGCATATAATAAGGTTTTAACCAGCCCTGATATTTTATTGTTGATTATTTCGTATGTAAAATGGTGTTTATATTATACTTTCTATTTTACTTAATGTTTTAATCTTTGCTAAGCTTCCTGCCCATGAAATCTTCATCTATGAAGCAGTCTATAAATGTAATAAACTATAATTTTAGTTTGGAATGTATCTGTATCCTTTTGATAACAAAGTACTTTGTATGCCTCTAGTTTGCAAAGCTGCAAAGGCCGACCTTGTGTTTCTGGTGGATGGGTCATGGAGTATTGGAGATGACAATTTCAACAAAATAATTGGCTTTCTGTACAGCACTGTTGGAGCACTGGATAAGATTGGTCCCGAAGGAACTCAAGTGAGTAGGAGAGAGGATTAACATAAATGAATATATGAACAATTGTTTAAATAGACTGCGATGTGCTAGAGTTGTATAAATCATATTACTTATATGCTTTAGAAAAATAAGTTCTAATTATTGATGGAGTTTTTCTGTAAATTAAAAGGTGCATATTCTCCAAGGGTGTTAATTCCTACATGAAGACTCAGTAAGGTATTCCCACGCCCCTGAAATAGCAGTAACATCACACTTCCTGGATGAAGATCTGTCTCATCCTTTTTTGGGGAACCTAGCTCTAAGTAAGTCTGCTGAGGGTTTCAAGTCCTCAAGGTGCTTGCCTGACTCTTAACACCAGTGGAACACAGCAAGCATTCAAAATGTACAGGAGGCATCAAAAGGGCATCTTCACATGGACATCTCAATGCTCGCCTGTGCATTATGAATGAAAGTCCAGTGTAGTTGGGGTTGTGATCAAACACACATTTGGTAAGGGAGCCTGACCTCCTGGGAATCCTGGAGTGCTGAATTGGGACCCCAGAAGGTCTCAATGGGGATCACAGGACTAAGCTTTCCCCTTCCTTGTTGCATTTGCTTAGTGGAAGGATTTGGCTACACTTCCTCCACTAGAATCTGATGCAGCGAACAGGGAAGAAACATAAGAAAACATAGAAACGAGCATGCATAAGCTAGGGTGGCCATGTCTTCTTTGCAGGGTAGTTGACCCAATGTAAGTGCCCCATCAGTTCCTCTCATTCCTGCCACAGGCTCTTTCTCTTCCTTTGCCTTCAGCTTGGAAAAACACCCCTCATTGTGATGATCTTCTTGTTTCATGCAGGAAAAAGAAAGGCACCTGAGTGACACACAAAGACTTTCCCTCCTCTCTTTCTCATTGAAGGGGCGTATTGCGCAGCCTGACTGGTCCCCACACATCCTCCTTAATTTTGCCATACTAATGATTAAGATGTCTTTTCTATGCAGGTGGCAATTGCTCAGTTTAGTGATGATGCCCGGACAGAATTCAAACTGAATGCTTATAGAACGAAAGAAACTCTTCTGGAGGCCATCCAACACATTGCGTACAAAGGAGGAAACACCAAAACAGGTGGGTGGGACAGCCAGGTAGAATGTCTTCTTGCTGATTCAAGCAAAAACCCACCCAGCTCTTACAAAATATGCACAGAAAGCAGCTTCTTTCAGTCAATATTTGCTGCAAGAAGGATTAGGGAGGGTTAACCACCATAAGAATAATCATTGGCCAAGCCCACATAGGGTGTTTTTCTGGGTCCGGTCTTGCAGTACAGTGACATTTTTGATGACCCTGCCTGAACAATAGGCTTTCCCCCCTGAAAAACTAGGAAGACTAAGAACCATTAGGACATCTGACATTTTCTAGGAACAGCAGCTTGCTCAGAATTGTATTAATATGATCCTGAGACAGCTTTTTAAAATCTGATTCTTTCTAGCCTATACTGAAAGGTGCAGATAACCAAGTCTCTGAAAGGAAAAGTCTCTTTAAGCCTCTTTGCTTTTAGGGAAATCCTAATCCATTTGTCATCTCTGGATCAGGTTGGTCACTACAAAGGCAGGAACTTTTCTGTGCTGGTTGCAAAGTTGTTGAATTTTTTTCCTTCGGTGTCAGATTTGGCTAAAGTTTCAGCTAAAGTTCCTCTTGAAGGAATGTGAAGAACTTTATCTTTTAGAAACCATTTGGAACAATCTGATATAATTAAAATGTATGTGATGGTTATTAGCATTTATGAAGAATTGGATGTTTTTCCCTCAAATCACTGGGGGTTTTTTTTAGAAATGTATGATATATTTTGGAGCCATGTTTTGTGGAGAAAGGTAAAATACAAATGAAATTTTAAAATAGAAGATGAATAATTTGGGGAAATAAATATGTGTGCAGATAAATATTTTTATTTTTGGAAAATAATGCACATATCTTTTAGCAGATATGAATAAATAGAATAAACATCTTATTTGTTGCAGAATTCCTGTGTTTATGCATCTCATTCCTGCATTACAGTATTGCATGTTATTTACACTACTCAGTGGCAAAATTCACATGATACTAAAACATGGTTTAGCATTATAACGATGTGTGTACCAAGCACTAACTTCAACATTCCTTGAGCTGCAAGGAGATCACCTGTACTGTAGGTCAATCACAGTTTCCCATGTTGTTGATTTGTAAACTGGCAAGTCTTAACTATGGTTGGTCAAACAAATCACTTTCATAATCCATGGTTTGAAGCTGGCTCATGTTCACAAACTGTATTTAAGGTCAGTAAGTTTGACCGTGACAATAAACTTAATCAAAGACTAGAGCAAAGGCTTCCAAATATCTTGTGACTGTGCCAGAGGAGTAGAAAGGATGGGGTACATGAGCCTGATACTTACTGCAGCTTGCTTTCCTAATGCTAAGTATGGTGTAACATTATATAAGAATCAGCTCAATGTTTTTGTCGAATTGTTTTTACAGGCAAAGCAATTAAGCATGCTCAGCAGGTCTTATTCACTATTGATTCTGGGACCAGGAAGGGAATCCCAAAAGTTTTGGTAGTGATCACAGATGGGCGATCACAGGATGATGTGAACAAAGTCTCCAGAGAGATGCAGCTAGATGGTAAGATGCTGTTCTCTTAGAAAATAATGAAAATGTAACCCGTTTTCCCTTACTAGGGGAAAAAAAGGGATTTCAGAAAGTGTGAAGGGAACACGCAAATGATAAAGTTGGACTCCCTGTGGTAAGTTCTCATTGTCATTGTCATTGTTTTTTTGAAGAACCTTTGGCTCTACCATGCATGTGAATTACTTGCAATGTCTCGCTCTTGGGCTTCCTGTGTTGATAAACATAGACTCTTTGGGAATCCATTTGATACTTTATACCTTTCACAATTGTTTTCACAGAGAGACTCAAGGTCCAATTCTGCACTGGCTGGGGCCTGCTGGGAGCTGCAGACCTTTTTTTATGTCTAAACTTGCACAAGATTATGCCTTTACTATACCATCCTATAAATGTTAACTCAAAATATGCACATTATATTCAATAGGATTTGATGTCAGGTACATGTGTATAAAACTTGCAGTTTTAAAAGCTCTTGCTTTCTCACAGCATTCTTGGTTTCACGTTGTTTTTTGTTAATGTGGGAGAAAATACAGAAGATGATGCCATTATAGGGCTCTTGGGACACCTTCCCTGATGCCAAAGGTTCTTTATATGGATCCTGTGGGAGAACCCTCTGGGCACCAATACTGTTTATGGAGCAATCCCCAGTTTTAAAAACGCTGTTTGTGGGTAAAAATCTGGCTCTCACCCCTGGCCCAGTAGGCAAGGGATCCTGGCTTGCACAGCGAGTGTGTTGGCACAGCAAGCATTATATTAGATCATAAGTTATTGAAAGAAATAAGGGAAATTAATCTGTGTGCTTCTTTGTCCATTTGACACACTACGTAGTTTCTGTTCCTAAAATAAACTTGGCTGGCCAAGGGGAGAGAATTCCAAAGGAAGCCCTTTTCTGGAAGTGTTGAGAGACTAGGTTGATGATGTTTATTGAGTAGCTGAATCCATGACTAGAGAAAACTGATTTCACTATTCCATGTTGTTAGATCGGCAGTTTTTGATCTGTTTTTGCCAAATGACATGTCAAAGCGTCTTTCTTTCTGCCCTAGGGTTCAGTATATTTGCTATTGGAGTAGCAGATGCCGACTATTCAGAACTCCTTAACATTGGCAGCAAGCCTAGCGAAAGGCATGTCTTCTTTGTGGATGACTTTGATGCCTTTAAGAAGATCGAAGATGAATTGATCACTTTTGTCTGTGAAACAGCATCAGCAAGTTAGTGACTCTTTACTTTTGTTTGCTCCTTTCTGTTACACAACAGAACAAAGCAGGGTATTTTGCTATCCTTATTTGTAGTGTGAACGTGTTTCATGGTTTGTTTTACATCATAAGTCCCACTGAGTTAAATGGTGCGTTGAATTCAATGACACTGCAGTTCACTGGTGCAATGTACTTGATTACAACCTTAGAATTAGTTTAAAAGAAATGTGCTTCACTTTTTCTAGTATCATTTCTGTTCAGACCTGTGCTCCTGGGATACTGTTCATCATAATTAATAGGAAATAAAATTTAAACACAGGTTCTAGATAGTAATTAATATACAAGTATTATGATCAACATCTTTACCATGTTGATCCTCCTATGAAATTTACTGAGAAGCCTCAAGGATTAGTGATAATTGCTTCATAATTAGGAAGCTTCTATCCCTGAGGGAAGGATAGTGTTAGATTATTTTTTCTTTCATTATTCTAATGTATTTATTTTATTATATAAATAATACCCATTAACTCATGTTTTCATGGCAGATAACAAATGTTAAAGACTAAAATACCACAGAACAGTTAAAATATGAAATAAAGTAGCATATTTGAAAGAACAAGGTACAAAATAATGCAAAACAAAGGCATCACAGGAATAATATAACTACAAGAGAAATCCAGACCTCAGTCTCCAAAATGCCTGAGAGAAACATAGAAACACAGAAACAGAGCGAGTCAGAAGCGGTCTCCCGTGCCATCTAGTCTGACCTCCGGCACCAGCCAGCTCTGCTCATGACATGCTCACTATGTGGACGTCCAGCCTATCCTTGAACACCCGCACTGATGGGGCCTCAACGACCTCTCGTGGAAGCCCATTCCACACCCTCGGGGTCCTGACTGTCAGGAAGTGCTTCCTGGCATCCAAATGGAACCTCGGCTCCCTGAGCTTTGCTCCACTGGAGCGCATCCTGCCTTCCTCTGCAGGGGAGAATAGGTCTCTACCCATCTCCAGGTGACATCCCCTCACATACCTGTATGTTGCCAACAGATCCCCTCTGAGTCTCCTCTTCTCCAGGCTGAAGAGACCCAGTTCCCTCAGTCTCGCCTCATACCCCATCCCCTGCAAACCGGCCACCAACTTTGTGGCCCTACGCTGCACTGACTCTAACCTGGCTATATCCTTTCTGTAATGAGGGGCCCAAAACTGAGCACAATACTCCAGTTGCGGGCGCACCAGAGTCGTGTAGAGTGGCAGTAATACCTCTCTTGATCTAGAAGCCACACTTCTGGCTATGCAACCAAGGGTGGCGTTCGCCCTCTTGGCCACCACATCACACTGCTGACTCATGTTTAGCCTGCAGTCAACCAGCACCCTGAGGTCCCTTTCACAAGTGCTGCTCTCCAGCCACTTGTCACCTAACCTGTACTTATGACAGCTATTTCTATGCCCCAAGTGCAAGACCTTGCACTTATCCACATTGAACGCCATCCTGTTGTCTCCTGCCCACTTCCATAGTCTGTTCAGATCCTTTTGGATCTGGAGTACCTGCTCCTCAGTTGTGGCCACTGCTCCAGTTTTAGTGCCGTCTGCGAATTTGATCAGCAGACTGTTCACCCCTTCTTCCATGAAAAGATCAAACAGGATCGGCCCCAGGACAGAGCCCTGGAGGACCCCGCTTGTCACTGGCCGCCATCCCGATGATTCCCTGAGAAAAGTGAGATCTTTGCCTAACACCAGAAAGATGCCCCAGGAGAAGTTCTCTGGGGCATTCTTTCCATGAGTGGGGATGCCACAACTGGGAAGACCCTCCCTCATGTAGCCATCCATCTCCTTCCTTTGGTGGGTTCACCTGAAGGAAGGATGGCCTCCAAAGATGACCCAAGGGTCCAAGGGTCCAAATAGGGTTAATTGTTATATTTATGTTTTTTGTTTTTGTTGTGAGCCACCCCGAGGATTTGTTGCGATGGGGGCGGCATAAAAATGTTCTCGATAGATAAATAAATAAATAAATAAATAAATAGTCCATTTCTTGAATGGAAAACAGCTATTGTTCTTTTTAAAAATGCAGTTAAACTAGTAATTAGGTTATTCCCTGCCCTAAGGTGACCCAAAGCTGACCAAGTAAGTGGCCAGAAATCTTCTTGTTCTTTAAGGGACAAGAAGCAATAAAATGAGCTGGACCTGCAAATGGGAAGTTTTTGATTAAAGGCACAGTAGCCCCTAAAAACCTCAATAATACTTCTGCTTGTGTGTGTGTGTGTGTGTGTGTGTGTGTGTGTGTGTGTGTGTGAACTGCACTGGTCCCCTGACTCTCTTTTTAATCAGACTATCAAGCCGTATTTCTAGACAGCTGCATTTATTATGCACCCTACAAACACATAAGCATTGCTTCAGGCTATAGATAATAACTCCTAGCAAAGTCCTATCAAAAAGACAAATGTTCCAGATGGGATTTCCATAACACAGTTAATTCCTTGGGTAGAGCATCATTAAAGACAGTTGTCACAAAATATAGCAGGCCTTCCGCAAGCTGAGCAAGCTACCAAGTTTCTCCCTCAGGGTAGATCTTTCCATGGGGTCTCTTCCCTGGCTGGAAGTCTCATTGCACAGCTTGTGATCTTGTGTTTCCTTTCTCTTTTCATCTGAGGCATGCATCTTGTTTCTTGTATTCCCGCTGCTGCCTCTGTGTTAAGGGCCCAGCTTGGCTGTCTTCTGAAAGCTTTGTCCTGTATCTTTGTTGTTGCCAGTCTCTAGCTGCTGCATCTTTGGCACCTCCACAAAATTTTCCCCACCCCAATTCATAACACACACACACACACACACACAGAGAGAGAGAGAGAGAGAGAGAGAGAGAGAGAGAGAGAGAGAGAGAGAGATTGGAGGTTGGAATTTGAATAGTGGGGGTAAACCCCAATGTCTTGGTCTAGGGCCGATTGTCCTCTCAAGTCAAAAGCTGGCAACGGGTATCTTTTTTAAAAAAAACCTGAGGATAACTTTTAAGCAAGTTTTCACTGTACTGATTGTATACAACAGCATTCCATTGTCCTGGTCTTTTTTGATCTTCTAGCCCTAATTCAGTTTTTCATCCCAGGATAAAATATAATAAAGCCAACAGATCATGAATATTACTTTTCCTGCAGGGATTAGAACATTTACTCTTTATTTTCCTTCTTGCAGCTTGTCCATTGGTTTATAAAGATGGCAACAGCCTAGCAGGTATATTATTTTAAAAGTATTATATTTCATGTTTCATTATTTGATTTAACCTTTTATAAGAGGAAAACATTTATTTGCAACGGTTAAAAAGTAAAGCAATCTAATGGGACTATCAAGTGCTCTATACCATGACTTGGATGCTTGTTTATCTAAAAATTTTAAAGTAATTCATTCTGGGCTTCAGCTTGCCACTGAAGCAAGGAAATTATAGCTAGAAAATGCAGGCAATACATGCTGAGAGATTGTAGCTGCATTTGGATGTCACAGTAAACTGTGATTTATCATTTTGTGACTGAGCCTGGGTGAGCCTTGAGCTTATATGCTCCTAGTGCTCCTTTTCATCTGGCATAGCCATGAGGAAAGCTGCTTGACTAACCACAGTTTAGTGGTATGACTGAAGCTGAAGAAACTATGTTTTGTCCTAGCTATGATTTCAGTATAAAACCTTCATTATATAACTGACTAAAAAATTAGTTAAGGGTAACCACACTTTAGGGTTCAGGTGTGATTCTGTTAAACTGAAAATGGAAACCAATGTTCTAGACACCTTGCATCCACAGCAAAGGAGGAGAGTGAGGTATAGCAGGCAACCCAAGGGTTCTTCCCTTAATGCCAACCTAGACTTTATCTTTACATCTGAATGCAGTCAATGATTGGTCAAGCTCATGCAAATGAGTTCAAGAGGATCTTGGACCACTCTTTATGCTCTGCACCATAGTGGCCTCTTTCACCAAAGCCCCTTTGGTGAACCTGATGGGTGTATGAGAATGCAAGGATCTTCTTGCAAAGCTCCTATTTGTTTGAAACGGCTTTGTGATGCTTTCATTTCTAAACTTACAAAAGTATAGATCTACATTATCTTGAGCTCATCCTCTGTATGCAGAAGATGTTAGGTTCAATTCACTCAGAAAATTCAGTAGTAGATCCTGGGAGACGATCTGCTTAAAACCTTGGACAACTAGATGAACTTCTGGCCTGATATAAGTCAACTTTATACCTTCAATTCACTTTTATCTGCCAAGACTTTTCCCTCACTTAGACTTTTCCCTTCAAACACCACAGAAATGTAAGGCAATTGTGCGAAGGCATAACCATCTTCTTACATAATTTTAGTGGATTTTCTGATATGGAAATTCCTGGAGGAAATATATCCAACTACTAACCTTTAGCACTGGTATAAATCTCCACTATAAAACTCATTTTTACTCCCCAGCAGCATTAACATTGATGCATGTTGTGCTTTTTATGGCTCTTAGGATTTAAAATGATGGAGATGTTTGGTTTGGTTGAAAAGGAATTTGCAACGGTGGAAGGGGTTTCAATGGAGCCTGGGACATTTAATGCCTACTCCTGTTACAGACTGCATAAGGATGCCCTGGTTTCTCAGCCAACCAAGTATGTACTTTGAGACCTATTTCAGTACTTATAAAAGGAAATGCATGGAAATTAAAATCTATCAGCACTTTCTGTTCTTATAGAACTGCAGTCAAATACAACTGCATATAGAAATGCAGTTGTATTTGACTTAACCTGAGCTTGGGAATAACTCCAGAGCCAGCCATATCATTAGTCAAGGGAAGGCAGATTCAGAATATCTGCTCTATTAAAGCATCAAATTGTCACATTATGCATACACACAAACTCTAAAGGAAAGCCAATAGCTGTTTTATTTTATTTTAATAGTTACAAGTTATTTTTGTGCATTATACAAATTCTTCTCATTGGCAAGAAGAGGGGTGTTTCTTGGATGCAAGCCAGATAAATGAAGCGATCTCACTGTCTGAACAAGGCACTGTTGTTTGGGGAGGAGAAAGAAGGAGAAATGTGAACAGACTTGGAAGTCGCCATGGGGAGGGCTCCTCCCTCCTGAGAGACCTCTTAGCTACTTGTAAAAGACTTGGAAGAATTCCAAACAGATCTGATGGATAAGAGGGAAACTTGTTGTAACAGGGTTCATTTCTGATGCATGATTCCCATGGTGAGGCGGTTCCATGCACATACCTACTCTCCTTTCTCTTCTCCGGTGGGCCTGTGAGAAGGGGATCAGCCCTATTTGCTTCTGCTTTCAAGTACTGGTGTTTGTGCATTTGTCCAAAGCAGAATGAACTCCAGTTCATTTTACCCATAGTTTATCCGAAGAAGCCAGGATGAGAAACCATGATTTGAAGTTGCCTTCTTCAGACAAACCATAGTTTCTTTTAGCGCTGTGCTTCTCAAATGTTTTAGAGTTGGACCATCTATAAAGAGGGTTTAACCACTGAGAAATCAACTGATCTTATTTATAAGCTATCTCAACCCTTTTATAACATAAAACACAAAAAATCACATTAGCGGTTAAGAGTGAACACTTTCCTATTTCATTTTTAACGGGCAGTTTACAAAATACACGAATGCAATATATGAGATATTATAAAGTACGATATAAAACAAGGTACAAGAGTTCAAAACAAAACAATATCAAACAGCTACCTGAGGCAATAACACAATTTACAGTATTTATAAAATCTCTGAAACAATAACAACACAAAAGAATTAAAATTTAGACCCATTCATTATCATCATACAGCCTACAACTACAAACCACCCACCCAACCAGCCAACTGCCAGAGTTTCAACATCAAACAGGGGCCAACAGAGCATCAAATGAGCACCAACGGGTGGTACTCTTTGACTGCTGCTCCACTCAGGGCAGAAGGTCTCTGGAGAGAGAGTCTGATGTGATGGAGGGAGCCATCTTGGAGTAGCTTCCCACAAGTGACCACAGCTGATGCACCTCTCCGTCATTCTCCTCTTGCTCTCCTAGTGCTCCACCATGTCAGTGCCTGCCACCAACTGACCTGGTGGGACATCTCAGTGGTCCATGAAGTGAGGGTCTCTGGAATGTATAGGCTGCATAATACTTCATTATTATTTTATCCTGACATATTGGGAGAAAGCACCCTATATATTAAGTGGGCTGCAGAAGGATAATGGCATGCTGATAGGGGAAAGGGAAAAAAGCCTCTGGAAATGGGGAAAAGTGGGGGAAAGAGCCCTCTTTGGGCAGCTTCCCTACTCCAGAACACATCTGGACCCAAGTATGCCTCATGACGTACAATCTGAAAAAACACTGGTTTAAACTATTGACCTGTGAGTTGTGATCCACAGTGTGAGACACCAGCTTAAATGAGCCAAGGGTGGAAAGAACGTTTATATTCAGATGTTTTGGACTTCAACTTCCAACATTCTGACAATTGGCCATGCTGCTAGGAGTTGCCAGGAGCTGAAGTCCAAAATATCTGGACTCATACCTTCTGCCAACCCACAGCTGAAATTATCTGAGGTTTGTTCCAGAGTTCAGATGAAACAATAAACTGTATTTGCTGGGAAAAAGTAAGTCTTTCCACTCTTATCATTCCAGGCATGCTAAATGGAGTGGGGGTGGTGGGGGGAATGTACAAATTTAAGACTCATTTGTCTAGAACTTAGCTCTAATTAATCATGATGTCTCCTGTGTTCCAAATGGATGTATGCAAGAAGTTTGTTACTATCTTCACAGAGTTGTGAGAATGCTGTTTGCCTCGGGAGGAAAGTTTTCAGAAAGTGGCCCTTTAAAGTTTGAACTAGACCATAGTACTTAAACAGTGCTGAAGCCCTACATCACTGCGATGTTAATGACAAGCCAAGGCTACAGACAGCCATTCCTAAATCCAGACCTGAAGTGTGTATTCCCCAGCCTGAGTTCTGTAAGTCAGTTGCTGGAGTTGAGGGCATAAGCTGGAGACAGAATTAAGGCTACATTTTGACTGTAATTGCTGGAACCCAGAGTGGAACAGACACTGCAAGGGCAGAAGGCCAAACTCCTAAAACTAAAATCTGGCCAGCCAGAGTCTTCATATTACCTGCCAATTGGAGGCACACACCTCTTCTATTTTGTGCCTGAACGGAGCTCTTGCCCTGTTCTCCCCGGTGCAAGGCTGGGGGCTGGCAGATCAGCAGCTGAAGGCACAACAGAGGAACAAGCTCAGCCAGGGTCACAAACAAGCCAAGTCGAATCCAGAGTAGCAAATAGCAAGCCAGACAGTAGAGGCAGAAGGAGTTATGGAATGAGAATCATCCAGTCCACTGCGTCACTGATGGAGAAAAGTCCACATGGAAAGCAGAATAGCAGGCTGCTATCAGAGTTAAATACTGACATTTTTTCCATGTCTGGGAACCGCCAAAGCCCAGCTCAAGTCCCAGCTGTACAGTTCACTCTGATTCCAGAGAGTCCTGCTCAAGAGATGGGTCCTCTGCACTTTGCCAAAATTCTTTGACTTGGGCCTGCCTCCCAAGAGCAGCTGCTTTCCGGAAGTTGAGGAGTGCTCAAACGCCCTCTCTTCTTGAGAGGCTGGAACTTCAATGGCCTCCTCCATTGGCTCATATCTTGTCATGGTGTTGGTCCTGGCAGGGCTTGGGCATCATCCTTAGCTGCCTTGCCCCCATCAGAGGAGGAGGAATCTTTTGATGGGGGCATGACAGTTGTGAGGTTGCAACCCACAGGCTAAATCCACCACCCTCAGCAGCTCCAGGGCAAGTTCTCACGAACATAGGAAGAGCCGTGCTGGATGCAACCAAGTCTAATCCAGCATTCTGGTCCAACAGTCAACCAGCTCACCATGGGAAGCCCACCAGCAGGACAAACGTGCAACAACACCTTCCTGCCCAGGTTCCCAGTCACAGGTATATGTAGGCACAACGTATCTTATACTGGAGGTACTATGTGGCCTTCAGGCTAGTCACCATCGATTGCCTTATCCTCCATTAGGTTCTCTATTCCTTTTTGAAGGCATCCAGATCGGTGGCCATCGTGACATCTTCTGGAAGTGAGTTTAACTAAGTCCCGCATCATGGGTCCTCAAACTATGGCCTGCGGGCTGGATCCGGCCCGCCATGCCCATTCATCCAGCCCGCTATAGCTCTCCACGCATGTGTGCATGGCGAGGTGCCACCTTGCTGGCAAGGAGACCGTTTTGGACTCGCTCGGAGAAAAGTATCTCCTTGCAAGCAAGCCGGTGTCTTGCCAGGGGATCCTTTTCTCCGAGCAAGGGGGAGATCGTTTTAGACTCGTTGGGAGAAAATGATATCTGCGCACGCATGCCCCTGCCTTTCCGCAGGTGCATGGACATGCCCCCCCCCCCCCCCGGCCTGCACCCCCGCCTGCACAGCCTTGGCGGCCTGTGCCCATCTCTGGAACCTTTCAACTGGCCCCCTATTCAAAAAGTTTGAGGGCCCCCATCCTATGTGAAGAAGTCCATCTTTTTACCTGCCCTGAATCTCCCGTTGGGTTCAGTATTGTGTTTGTGTGAGAAAAAATGTCTCTGTGTCCCCTTTCTCCACACTGTGCATGACTGTGTACATCTCTATCACGTCTTGCCTTACTCACCTTTTTTTACTAAGCCAAACAGTCCCAGATTTGTAACGTTTCCTCACAGAGGAATTGTTCCATTCCTTTGATCATTTTAATTGGTCTTTTCTGAACTTGTTCCAACTCTACATTTCCCACCCTTTGCCCTTGCCTGTACCACCAAGTTGTGTGACCAAAGTAAGCCAGCATGGCCCTTAGGAAAGAATTCCAGGTCAAAGACCTCGTGTTGAAGGGGTCCTTTCTAGAGCCAGTCATGGGAGGGGGTGTCTCGGGAGATCGCTGGAGGTGGGACATCGCCCTGCTTCATGGGAGGGCTGGCCCTGGTTTTGGTTTCGGCTTCAAAGCCCATGACGCATGACTACATCTGCACTTGAGTGTTTGCACAGGCCTGGAACATCAAGCTGGGGCAAGCTAAGCCATGCCATGTGCCCTCCCTTACGCTGCGCATATTGCCAGATGAGGGCAATGTGACACTGCCTACAGGAGCAGTGTTTGTTCTGCAACAGGGATGGCTGCCAGGAATCTCCTCCACAGCTTTGGAAAGCCCCCGTACCTATAATGAGCGACAGGAACCGGTGCTTGTGTCCGAGGCTTGGACTGTGGATGGGAGGCGCTTAAGACTCTCAAAGTACATTGTGCGCTGATTCCATCTTTCCTTCTTAACAGGGATTTTTTTGCAAAAAATAAAAAGGGCAGAACAAGCAGTAAGGAAACACAGGAGGGTTACAAGTAAAACCTCCCACGTCTAAAATTCTGAGAATGGGGAAGGCAATTTCACAATATAAGCCTTGTCCAGAAATTTGGGATAGGGAATTTCCCTGGATTTGGGAAATTATTTGGTACCTTCCACCATGTTATTTAAAAAAATGGTGGCTGGCTTTTTGAGTTGTATCACATATGAGACTGCATCTAAGTCATACCTATAAGGCAGTCTGCTCTTTCACCTGTGTTGCACAACCTTACCTTGGTTGTGATGAAGCAGATCATCACAATGGTGTGTAGTAATGGCTGGACTTTTGGCCATGCTTTTTTTACCTGGATTTGCCAGGGCACAAGGTATTAAAGGTAAAGCTTTTTGGTGATGCTCACAAGTCTTATGGATATGAAACCCTGAAGCCAACAGGGGAAATAAAGCACTTTCCCCCCTTGCAATGCAAGAAATTGAAGTATAGAAGCAGAATTACCAGCTTGCATCCTCAGTGTTTCCAGGTCCTACAGTCTCTGAATGCAACCGATGAGGGGGCATCATTGCAGGTTTCCAGGTGAACAAGTCCCCATCACAGGCTTGGTTCAAGGGCTGTCTTCATCTCTGATTCAGCACCTCAGATTGACACAGTAGGAGCCTCTCTGCGGCAGGGGAGCTTGGCTAGCACTGTCCCTCTTGCTTCTGGGGAGAAAGAACTTGCATCATCCTCCAGACAATATTTTTCTGCCTCTAGTCAATCATTTGTTTGGCAGGAAAAAAGTTGGAAGGTGCTGCTCTTGGAGATGTGTGGTTCAGGCCATTTATTCAGGGTATTATTCTTTAACCAGGATTTAACTTGTTTCCCAAGAAGAAGTTGTGGGCAGACGCTTCCCTCCAAACATTTACAGTAAGAATCTTCCTGTACTCAAGACTTGCCTACCCTGCCTCTGGAAGTTTACCAGTATTAATCTTTATCTTGGCCAACCCTATGGGTTTTTTAAAATCCTTATTCATTAAAATCTGTCATCATATTTCCCACTCTGGCATAAGGGTTCAGTGCTGAAAAGATGAGAGAGAAGCATATTGTGTTTTAGAGAAAGTGAGTCCAGAGGCAAGATATTCCTTGGAAAGGGAGCATGCTGCTAAGTGGGGAGATAAAGCTAACTCAACTCATGTGTGGTTTCGGGAAATTGTAGTGATAGCAAAATGCGAAGCATGAGCAGGGGAGTGCAGATTGTGTGACGTGGCACTGGGCACTGGAAGAACGAGAAGCTAAAGTATGTGCCGTGTTGATTTCCAAAGTGAAACCATACGCACGTTTTGCTGAATGAATCCAATCAACAATTTGTAACCTGATAGGATTCTAATTTTTCCCTTTCTGTTCAATACAATTTTCTGTAGTTGTGCAAAGGGCAGCCTCCAATCAAGAGAGACTTTGATACTCAGATTACTAGTTATAAATTAGAAATGGGCAGCAAAGGAACCTAGTTAGCTGGAAAATTTCCTGCAGCATGCTAGTACATTCCAGAGCTGTAGTAATTCTTGGGGAGTTTTCACCCTTTTTGTGGACAAAAGTCTAGTGGCAGGAAGCAACGTGCGTAGCCCATCTGACGAAGTTTGCTGAACCTCTTGGAATGTTTCTGCATTCCTTTAAAACTCCTGCTATGCTTTGTCTGTCTGAAGAAGCCCTTCAGCACAATTATTTCTGAATTTCATTTTGGGTGAAATGATGTTAACAGCTCTAACCTTCTTGTTTCAAGTTTATGTTCATCTCCTAATGCAGCCTTTTCTGGTACAATGCAGTATTCTGAAATTCCCTGATGGAGTTAGTGTGCTAAACAACCTTTAGGCTGCAGACAAATGTGGTTCTCAGTGACTTGTGTCATCATATCCCTGCTCTAATGTTCAGGGCAGGGGTCAGGTTAGGCTTAGGAGTGGGCAACCTCAGAGGACAAGAGGCAAGATCCAGCCCATTCCAGATCAGCTCTTCTGTGTCCCAGCAGGACTGTGACTCTTTCCGCACAAGCACCATTTATCTGCTAGTTTCCAGGCTTCTGGGCAATGTTTTACCCTTTATAAAATGTTGGAATATTTCTCCAAAGAATTCGCTACTTGCAATTAGAGTTTAGGCTACAATATGCTGGTATCTTGGCCCCGTCTTGTTTGTTTTTGACTTTGCATACTACTGAAATATGACCTGGAGAGCTTCTGCCAAAACAGGAATTTGGCTTTTGAGCTGAAAGGTGTTCAGCCCCCTTGGGTTAGGCCTTCCTCCATGATATTACTTATCAGTAAAGTCATACGCACTAGGAAGGGCAATCCAGCACAAGGTCATGTCAGAGTAGTCTATCACGACAGCTCCAGGGCAATGATAATGATTTTTGATTATCTGATATTGTTCTAGGCATTGGTCAATTAAAAAAAATGGCAGGAAACCACTCAGGACGTGCTTTTTGCCTGCAGAGGGGTCCAGTTTCAATTTCTGGCACTCCCAATTTAAAGGAGCAGCCTGATGGGAACAATCTGACGCCTTGATGTGCTTAGAGTCCAGTCAGACTTACTCCTGGACTGTGCCCCATGTTGATAGGATTCGTAGCCAAGTAATCGGAGGAGGGAACAATATTCTGCGAGATGTAGTTTATCATAGTCTTCTGTTCAGCAAGGGCTTTGTGCTTCTCTTTTTGGCAGTTCTCCTCAAACCACTTCCTTAGAAGAGATGAAATTGCCCCATGGGAACAGGTTTGAGGGCTGCGATGTGGTTTGATTTATTTTTTATTTTTTATTTTTTTTGCATACTGGTTTCAAGATGTGTGACATTATCTCATACATAGAATTACAAAAGTTTATGGAAGTATCTTCATGCTGGACATTAACTGCACATCTCCTGATAATTTCAGAGTGGCTGAACAAGCCAAAACAAGCCTACTGTAATCAGACCTTTGGGTCATTTAATTAAAGTTGCAGGAAAGGAATAAAAGATTGTATCTAAAATTGAAATATTGTAGGCTTTCTAATTAAAAACAAACAAAACCTTGGAATGAAGCCAGCAATGGCATAATTGAGTGTTGTAGATTTGAATTTCTACAAAGTAAGTAGCAATGACTAGACCTGAGTATAGCTGACTAGGTGTTTGGATGGAGTGGATCCATTTCGTCTGTCACCTTCTGTCTTTATATGCCAACGAATTCATAAAAGGCCCTTGAGTTGTGCTAGCTCTGTGGGTGCTTGTTTATTTTATGTATTTTTAAAACTAATCTCACTTTTTTCCAAAAGGAGCTCGAGGTTGCTACCAGTGTAGTGGTTAAGAGCACAGGACTAGGACTCAGGAGACCTGGGTTCTAATCCCCACTCAGCCATGGAGCTGACTGGGTGACTTTGGACCAGTCAGACTCTCAGCCTCACCTACCTCACAGGCTTGTTCTCACCAAAACACCAAAGATAATAATAAAGAATAATAATGATGCACAATTTTCAGGGGCTGATAAAACAAATGAGTGCCCAGCCATTCACAGGGTGGTTTAGTGTGACTTGTATGTTGGCATTGGCTTCAGCACCTTGCTCCCTGTTGTCATGTTAGTACCTGGAATATTTTCCCCCCCTACAGATATTTACATCCAGAGGGGCTTCCTTCTGACTACACCATTACCTTCCTCTTTCGTATCCTCCCTGAAACACCTGAGGAACCATTTGCTCTCTGGGAGATTTTGAATAAAGAATATGAGCCTCTCGTTGGAGTTATCTTGGACAGTATGTATTTTGTGTCTTTGAGGTCTAATATGGTTGGCTGGTTTGATTATAGTCTGTCTTTTCATTTCATGATCAAAGAGACTGAGTCATCATTTTTCTCTCCTTAAGAAGCCTAGCAACTTGCACACACTGGGGTTTTATACTAATCTATTTGCACTCTGTGTGTGTGCGCGCGCACGCGTGTGTGTGATGTATAAATCACCTCCTCTGCTTGCTAGCATCTATTGCCTTTATAGATGCATGATCTTTACAGAATACAAACAGACATTGTTCTGAACATTGTTTTTCTTACCCTGTACAGATGGTGGGAAAACCTTGACTTTCTTCAATTATGATTACAAAGGTGAATTCCAGACAGTTACTTTTGAAGGACCTGATATAAAGAAAGTCTTTTATGGAAGTTTTCATAAGGTGAGATTTGCTAGAAAGTTCTGGAAGAAGAATGGGTTCATATAAAAGGATGATGGACTGATCTTTGAACTTTGCTTCGTTTCTGCGGGAAGCAGTGCTTTTAATGTCACCCTTTATTAAGTGAATAATTTCCCAGTACACACGATTGAAGGACAATAAATTCCCATTGGTGGAATTCTAGCATTCCACCAATGTGTGTTGCAGACTTCCACTTTCAACATGAAGAATTCTCCCCCACCTCCAGGCCGTGGGGAGAGTAACAGGTACAGTTTGTGTAATCTTTCTGTAGAAGCTCTTCAAGATTGGCCCGATTGCTCTAAAAATGTTAAATCTGCCTTCACGCTCTTGGTTTCAACTCACAAGCTGACAGTGCTCTCCAAACATATTGGTTATATTTACATCTTCCAACTTCAGCAAGTCCCCTTCAAGTATGGAAATTTGAAATATTATTGGTAGAATTATAAGTTTTTTAAAGCTTCTTGCAGCATGAATAAATTGCATGTACATAGCCTTTTCAGTATCCTTGCTGTTCTCTCCTAGTTGCATGTTGTAATCAGCAAAACAACAGCCAAAGTGGTAATTGACTGCAAACAAGTGAGCGAGAAGATAATCAATGCAGCAGGAAATATTAGTTCTGATGGTGTAGAAGTACTAGGAAGAATGGTTCGATCCAGAGGACCAAGGGACAACTCTGCACCAGTAAGTGAAAAAACTTGGGGTAGCCTTCCCCAACCTGGTTTCCTGGCAGTGTGGATTATTTTTAACCCTAGAACAGTATGCTATGTTGGTTTGTTTTAATTTTATTCTTTTATTCATTTTGCATAGGACATGCTATGGAACCTGTTTTTCGTGTGGATTCATTTGGCTTTGTATTGGGAACAGGAATGGGCACTGCCAGTTCTTCCATTTTTGTCCGAATTTATAGATGAAGGATTTTTGCTGATTCAGCCCACCATGTTCACATCCGTAGTTAGGGAATTGCAGGGATAACATCAATATGGTTAACACTGGAGCTTGCTAAATGTCAAATGGCTCTAATTGTGTTACTGTGCCCCCTTCCACTTCCCCTCCTTCTTTTCCCTGTTCATATGATGTATCCTAACTTTGTGATTTAGAGCTGCTTGTTTCTTTGAGGAGACCAGGGGTTGGGGGCGGGAGGACACAAAAACAGCTACCCATGCAGAAGGAGAATTAGAGGATTTAGGGAAAACAGGGCACTTGAGAAGGTAGAGATTTAATAATAGAAAAATGCTAAGAAAAAGGTTGGCCTCCTAGGCAACATTCACTATTACTCAGGAAAAGACTGAATATTTTTATACTCATACAAACAGGGTGCACAGGTGTGCAAAGACTTTTTGTCCCCAGGGGCCATATCCTGGGAAGTTTTGGTCCTTCAATAAATAAGAAATTACTGAGTCAGAGGCAAGCTAATTTCAAAATTGGGCAGCCTACCCGTATCCTTCAAACCCTCTTGTCCAAAACAGCTCCCTTAAACATACTAGGAAATCATTCAAGCTAAAATATATTTCTTGCCACTGTTTGGCTTGTCAAGATTATTTATGCCCATCCCCACCCAACCACCAAATTATGTTTCTTCAGACAAAATAAAACCTGCTTTGAAACCTCAGGCACAGAGATGAATCCATCAGGCCTTTCAAGACAATTGAACCTTTGTGACTGCATTCCAGCAAGGAAAGACAACGGCGAACTTATAAAAGGTTGCAGTTAAAGGGTGCTTTGTAAGAAGGAAAGGAAAGAAATGATGGCTATTGTTGGGAAAGTCAGAACTCTATGAATGATGATAAGTGAGTTAGTGAATTGTACACCCACAGAAAAATGTTGGTTGCCTTCAAGTGAATTGGTCAACAGTTATGTAAGCCTACAAGCATGCATTTCAAAGCATAGTTCCCTTGCTCAGTTACATAAGGGACAACTTTCTCATGAATTTTAGCAAGCCCCTGCCTTTATTGAGGGGCGATATATGTTTGAGAAACCAAAGTTTGGATGTTATAGGGTCTGGGATAAAGCATTGGGTGTGACCATGAGTTTCCTGAAAAAGATGGAAGCACACCTGAGCTAGGCCTGTATTCCATGTCTGTTTCACTTGTGCCATTGAAAGCATGCCAGTACTGGATAGGAGCTGAATGCATTCTTAAGTATGCCTGGTGCAGGGCAATCCATTTTCCAGCTCACCTATTATTATTATTATTATTATTATTATTATTATTATTATTATTTTGGAAATCACTTTGAAACTTGTTCTGGTTCACTCTTTTTGAGCAGCTTTTTGGTTTGTACAAATAGGAAAAAAATGTATTCTGGAACTGGAAATCTGAGGATCACAATGGGACATCTTTGTGTAATTTGAAAACAGAAACAAAATTCAAATATGTTCCTATCCTAGGACCATGATCAAAATTATGGAGTCCTTTTATGTGGGAAAGTATGATAGAACTCATTTCACTAATAATAATTTTCCACCCATCTGTGCCTCAAAACCTTGTGGCCATCCTTTCTAGTGTATTTCTAGTGATGGTATAACATTAAAGTAAGGATGCTTCACCTGAGATGTAGGACACCTCGGGGGACAGTCCACCCCCCAATGCCTTCCTCTTGAATGCTTGAAGTACATTTTAATAAACTTGTCATACCCAACTAGTACTGTCCATTGGGTCCTTGCATGTTATGTGCAGGCTGTAATGGTCATAGAAACATTCCCTAACTTTTAAGTTTTAAGTCGTGAGTTAATTAACTCATGGGTTGTAGGAATGTGTGGTGAATTCAAGGAGCTTCCAAGTTGTTTATAAGACATCCAAGCTTAGGCAGGTGGGTTTATTCATGGGTTGAACAAGCCCAAGTTAATCCCTAAACATACAATCCATTAACTTGGAGTTTCGTAACCCATAAACAATCACAAGTGCCAGGGTGCAGACATCATGGAAACAACCTACTGATGCTATATTCATAGGCTTCTGTGGGACACTAGTCACATCTCATGTACAGCACATGTTCCTGCAATGTGTGGGTTAATTAATCTACAGATAGCCTCCAAATGCCACAGGGGATCTTTGTTGTTTTTCTGCTTCATTTCCCACCCTTTTGGGCAATGTATCTATAATTTTCAAAACAAAAGGTATGTCTGGCAACTCATCAACTATATGTTAACTACTTTTAAGTAGTCCTTTTGGTCCTATTAACTGCCTTGTTCAATATGTGGATGGGGTCCAACAATGAATCAAAGACAAATACACTACCCTAATAAAATACCTATGGTAATGGTTTTACCCTTTGAGCTGCTTGTCCCCCATTAATTGCCTAAATGGCACCTGCATTTTATTTTATTTTTCTGCTTTTAAAACAGTTCCAGTTGCAGATGTTTGATATCGTTTGTACCACTTCATGGGCCAACAGAGATAAATGCTGTGAACTCCCAGCTTTGGTAAGATTTCCTCTAAAAGCTTCTACTTTATGACATCCAATTAGAATGTAAGCATTTGTATCTGTGTCCCAAAGGTTAATATAGAAGAGGGATCATCTACATTTGCTTAATGTGGAATAACCCAAACATGATGTGATCTTTTTCTCATTAGAGAGATGAAGAAAGCTGCCCTGCCCTTCCACATTCTTGCTCCTGTTCCGAAGTTAGCAAGGGACCTCATGGGCCACCTGGACCACCAGTAAGATCTTACTCATGTTTGATTTCCCTCCACCCCACCATATGCACTGGCTGAGTCCCAGGTTGCTGCAGTCCTCTTTTACTAGACTGAGAATATGGCTTTGTTGTACTATGTCAGCCTTTCCCATTCAAGTCCCTTTCAGATGGGCTGGGATGCAGTTCCCATCATCCCCTACCTAGCTTGGCCATGCTTGCTAGCAACAATGGGAGTTATCCAAGATCTGGGGTAGATCTGGAGGCCACCAGGTTGGAGAAGGCTGGACTGTTTGGTCTGTGGAAGAACAACATATTCACAAGCAGAGGTTTTAATAGATTTCACTGACCTAAGAAAGATTTATAGCTTTACTGTGGAATTCTGCATGTTGGTGATTTAAATAGCTCTGGTATCTCTTTTTTTGGGGGGTTATTTTTAGAAGCACACAACCCTCATTTGTAAATGAGCACGCAGCACGGTAGAACACTACCCAATATGGTACTTAGAGTAGACCCACTGAAATCGGTAGGACTTAGGTGAATAGAGCATGCCCCCTTAGGAAGTAAAGATACACGGCAATGCTGTGTTGTAGGTCCCACTTCCTTTCTTTAATCTAAAGGTCTTTTACAGGGTGGTCCAGGTCTCCGAGGTCCAAAGGGTCACCGTGGCGATGTTGGTCCAAAGGTAATTTTTCATGCTTCTGCTTCCATTAAAATAGAAGCACAGTCCATAGGTTTCTCCCCTTGACCCACTAGATGTGACTTGCATCTATCACTCATGTAGTTTTCTTTTCCCAACAAAGGTTATTATTTGTAGAAAAATAGACTGGGGACTGAAAGGGAAAATCACTCCGAAAATACTGGGATCTCTGTGGAATTGCATAGAATTCATAGCTCCTTATAATTGGCTTCTGTCTCCCTTGGTGCTGAACCCACAGGACTTATTCAAAATTCATCCCTATCGTTTATGTTCTTGAATCTCAGCCAACTTAACCCATATTTTATTGAGTCAGCATAAGTGGTTGTTCCTTCATTATGGAAGTGTTTGGGATTGTGATGGCCTTTTCTCTCTTAGGGACCAGATGGTTCTCGTGGTGAAATTGGAGTTCCTGGGCCCCAAGGGCCACCTGGGCCCCAGGGTCCCAGTGGACTTTCTATCCAAGGACTTCCGGTAGGTTTTATTTATTTCACTTTACTTAAACATTTCTTCTCCACAGACAGCAGGCACAGCCTTTGAGTATCAGTCCCTGTGCAATGACATCAGGAGAAGACTATTGTTCTGTGTTTGGAGACTGCCCAGAAGCATTTGGTGACCTGCTTTGGAAATAAGATGCCCGGGAACAGATTGGCCCTTGGTTAGATCCACCAGGGCTTTTCTTGGTTCTTGTATGTCATTGCAGTTAAAACCTGTTTGAGACTTGAACAGTAAACAAACAGTGCTCGATTTGCAAGTGGGCAAAGGAGGCTTGTGCTTCTGAACTTTTGTGCCGACCCACCATTGTTACGGAAGGCTACTGGTAGCCATGATTTAGTTACCATTAGGAAAGACAGATGACCGGCTTTGTGGATTTAATTAAGGACCACTCCTGTAATTCAAAGCCTGGTCAACTGAGATCCTGCTTATTATGTTCTGATCCAAAAAGCTTGATGATTGATCTCAGTGGGAGAATTAAGGATATTCTTTTCTGCCTCATGCAGAAATCAATGGGACATCAGTGTACCTAACTTGGCTAGATTGTGCCATGTGCTTAAAAGATGGTTTTAATGCTTTTGCCCTGCAGAAATCAATATGTAGTAAACTAACTGGGTTAACTAATTGCTTCTGAAAGAAATGGTGTAGACAAACAATGACTGATATGCTTAACTCTGTGAACATTTATAATCAGGGAATAGCTGGCGAGAAAGGAGAAAAGGGAGAAATTGGCCGTCCTGGCTTTCAGGTAACTACTGTGCTGATTTTATACGTATTATAGATTTATTTGTATATGGCAGTCCCAACATTTGATCATCCATTGAATACTTCACACAGTGCAGTCCTAAGTTGTGTTGGGGGCTGATGAATCTCCTTATCCATATCTCTGCTGGCTTGTGCCAGACAGGAAATATATGTGTGAGTCTTTCCACATGTTTTATTTTTTAAAAACCCTCCCTGTTGGGAGAAACCAAGGAAGAAAACAATGGACAAGTCTGCCAGCACCAAGGTAGCATTATCCCAAGTGCCCTTCATGGGATAGTGGAGTGGTTTGAGTCCAGTGGATCCAAACCTCTCTGTTGCCACATGGTCCTGGAATTTCCATTTTGAGCCCTTGGCTGCTGGGGCACCAAAGGATCTCCCCCACTTCCCTCCTAACCTCTCCCCACATCGGTGGATCTCAGGGTAATGAGTGCTCTGTTATGGATTATTGCTGCTTTCATTTCCCTCATTGTGTTTTAATAGGCCCTGGAGCTAAGGGTCGGCACACAAATAAACAAATAAATAAATAGGCCATGACAAACTGCTGCTAATGGGGGGTGATGTAGAAATGTGTTAGCCAACATTTGTTCACATCTCAATTTAGGGCACAACCTCCCTTAGGGCACAACCCTATGCATATTTAAACAGACTGGTGCCTGCTGGGAATTGATGGACCTTGTTTCTGTCTAAGCATGCCCTTGGTGTGCTATCATATGTCAAGAAATGGACCCAGGTGACAGCCATGCTGACTGAGTCATGCAGGGAGTTGTAGAACTATTTTTGTATCCAAATATGCACAGAAATTCACCCTTAAATGCTACATACCTACCTATATAGCTTTTAAAATATTAATATGTTGTTTCTATTGTTGTTATTAGTATTATTAAGAATGAATGTCTTGCTTTGTCTACCTTACTTTGGGTGTATGTAGGGAGTCCCAGGAGCATCTGGATCTCCAGGGCGGGATGGAAATCAAGGCCAAAGGGTAAGGTAGAAGAATTAGTCATAAGAGTCTTACTTAATCCACTGTACATTGTCCCTCCCAATTTCCAGGGACCACTCTGAAGTTTCCGTCTATAATATGAGTTTCCGTCTATAATATGAGTCTATAATTCCTAATATTCTCAGGAATTGGTGAATCCTGAGAAAAGACGATGCAAAGCATGGCTCATGAGTTTCTTTTCTGGCTCACTCCCCAGAGATTGTTCATTTGCCCAGGTCTCCTCAATGGACAATTATCACAAGATCCAATTCCATTCAAATGTCCCAGCTCCATCCAAGAGATCTTCTCTGGTGGGCTGATTTGAGGTTGAGATTAGTAAAACTGGAGTAAGTTCACACCCATTATATTAGGCCCTTCCTCCTTTAATGCTTACTTCCCAGTATGAAAAGTGGAATTTATGGGAGGGGAAATAAGAAGACTGTCCCACTGCAGCACAGACACTTTTGTTTCACTAATGGATCAGGAATATCTCCTCTCTTCTCAACCCCCCTGCCATGGCCAACCTCTTGGAAAGTTTTTCTGCATCATTCAGGTAGCAATTCCTCCCTTTCACCTGCTCTTCTCCCTGCCAACACACATTCAGCAGTTGCTGAGCACGGTCACTTCACCCTGTTTCATGGAAGGGCCAGCCCTGACTCTGTTACTGGGGAACGTATGCCACTGAACTCTTCGGCACTACATTCTGAATAGACAGGCATAGGATTGCAGAGTGTGGTCTTAGGTTAAGGCAATATTGTTTGAAGAGCTTTGAAAGTTCTTGTGACCCTTCTTCATAGAATTTTTCTCAATTTCCTGCCCAATTTCAGATGTAAGATAATTATTGTCATTAAGGCTGGTCATTTATGTACTTAACCTCCTTAAAAAAAGAAAGCTACCTGAAACATTTTTGATGGACTGGGTTAACCATTAAACAAACAACCAGTAAAAAGTGGGAGAAGTAGTTCTTGAGGGCACCATGCTTTTCATGGGCCTCCTTCAGTGAGTTACATTCTCCCGGTCCTTGCCACTGGCCACTCTTGTTCTTCATCTCCTCTCTCACCATTTCTGCCACTTGCTGGATAGGCACAGAGCCAGGGAGTAAGTATCTGCTATACCTCCCACTACCATGGACTGGACCAGAGCAACAGACAAGGGAACAAGCAGGCTGCCATGGGGAAGAGGAGAAACAAACCCAAGGACCCTAATCAGTGGGCCCCCACTGAGATGTGTCCCTGTGGCATGCACCTGACCATGCCTGCCCTGTCTGGAACATCTAGAGTGGATCTGCCACCAAAGGGGTACCTTTGCCCCATTCTAACCTCCAACTCTGTCCAGCAGATCTGCTTCTGCATCTAAGCTAAATCATTACGGTGATCTGTACTTACTTTTCAGGCTGGTAGTAGTACCTGAAAGGTACATACTGACCTTCTGATGCTACTTCAGAATGTACCAGTTTTTGTTCTGGAATATCATGAAGTGCACTTATTTATCTATGTATTGAAAATTAATTTTGGGCAACCTTTGAGCATACAGCCCTTTCAAGGCTTGTAATGACATAACATTTTGTTGAATCGTTTTACAATCATGCCCAATTTTTGAGCATATAGTTTCGGGAAAAGAACCTTGCACCTAGGAGGAACTCAGAAATCAAGCTGGAACATGATGAGCCCCTGATAAAGTTCTTGCTGCATCTCATTGGTTTTCCAGGCTTAAGGAGTAGCCAGTATTAAGACTCTGCCGGAAGATTTGCCTTCTTGCCTAATATAATTGAATATATGATGGATAGCGGGGGAAATTAAATAGGCCACGGTCCCAACATGCAGCTGCGGACTGCGCAGTCACCCCATTAAAGAATGGTCACTTGAGAAAGCAGGTGAACCCAACGCATGGCTGTTTCCATCATTTTTCTTTATTATTGATCCAGTGAAGACCATGAAGCACATCCATTCCTTGCATATGGGAGGTGACATTGAAGTACAGAAAGCAGCAACTGAAAACACAGTGCAAAAATTGGATGCTTTCTTTCCATCAGTTGCCTTAATTTTATATCATTTGCTTAAGTTATTGGTCTTTTGAATATAAGTTTGCATATGGCAAGCAACAGAACGAGGGAGAAGCCTACTCCGCTGATTTTCTTTCCTGTGATCATAGGATTCCCCTCCCCCTATTTTCTCTTTCTGGTGGTTTTAAATCTCTGGTTTATTTGCCTTTTTTCATTCTCAAAGTTTTTGATTAGCTCTTTCAATGAGGAATTAATTACAACGTATTCTTCAAACCAGCCCCTAGAAGCAAACAGATCTGTTTCATGATGGATTACACATACTGCAAAATATAGTTGAGGGTATATTAAATTGCAGTTTAAAGACTCATTTGAAACAGAGTCAAAAATCTGTTTTCTCTTAATAAAATATGCCCCCTAAGGAGTTTGGCCCTTAGTATCCCTAACAGTGAGTTTAACCATATCTAGTAACTGGATGAAATGCTTTCTTACTCCAAAAGGTAATTATCTTAAGTATAGTTATGTGGAAGTAAGTTCCATTTACATAAATGGGAACCATTCCACAAGACATTCTTTAGAAGTGGGCTGCTAAATGCAGATTGTATCCATATCGATCAGATCTTGAAAAAAAGAGAGAGTCCCTCTTGCGTTCCCTCGTTTTCCTTCCCTCCTCCCTTCCTGTAACTACAATAGAATGCCTCAGTGGTGTGAAGTCAGGTTGGCACAGTGCAGGAAGGTCTTCCGCACAATTTTAAAGGACCCCCCCTCCATTCCTCATAGGGGTGGCCCAAGATATCTTGCTACCTTAAGTGAAGGACATTCCTTTTCAGTTCCATGGACAAAAGCCAACTGGGCTGGTAGTTGAATCTTCCTTCAGCATTGGTGATGGGACACCCTTCCCCTCCACTCTGCTTGAAGGCAGTTGGCTAACTTAAGAAGCAGACAGCAGCTTGCATGACCCCAACGGTCTGTCCTCTCATACTTCGTTGCTTTTCATACCATCTGTCACCTGAACTAACTGCTTCACTCCATCCAATGGTAGCACCAGTTCAGAGCCATCCCAGGACATTTTGCTACCTGAGGCAAAGGACAAGATGGACTGTCACTTGAACCTTGTGGCAATATTGGCAATAGATCCTCCATCATACCTGAGTGAGGCAGGCTAGTTTAAATGTTGTAGGAAGCACACAATTTTGTCTTCTGAAGATAGTCAAATGGCTGGAAGACTACCACTGGCGTCTGAGTTAAATGGGGAATTCCAATTGCACAATTGCCATTGATCTAGCTTGAATCCAGTATTATTGGGAATTACAATCCAAACTATCTAGCGGTCACTGGGTTAGAATGTTAGAGTAGGGCTAAGGAATGTTGATTCTGTGCTCAGGTATGAAGCTTGTGGAGTGATCTTGTGCTCCAACTGAACCTACTCCACAGGTTTGCTGTGAGGGTAATATGGGATGGCTGGAAGAGCCAGGTATATCTCTTTGAAAGGCTGTGTATAAATGCAAAGAGATCCTACTTTTATCCAAACATGGGCTCTTGCTGATTCTGTGGAGATAGGAAACACTTGTGGAGAAGGGAGAATTCTGTCCCACATGGTTGGCACATTATGTTGCACTCATGGTAAGGGGGAATGGCATGGAAGCCTGAGTCTCCTGGTTGATAAAATAGGTGTACTTGGAATTTAAATGACACTCAAGACACATTTCAAACATATAAATCTGTGTTCTTCAATGCCATTTGGGACTGCCATAAGAATGGCTTCACGTTGCACCTTCAATAGTAATATATTCTTGTAATGTATATGTTTGTTATGAGAATGGTGCCATATGTGATATAGTGGTGATAGTATTGGACTAGGGATCCAGGAGGTCCAAACTGATTGTGAAGCTCACTGGCTGATCTTGGCCAGCTGCCTTCTCTCAGCCTAACCTATCTAACATGGTTGTGATTGTGAAGATATAATGGAGTGGAAGAGGATTACATTAGCTGCCCTGGGTTCCTCACAGGAAGAGGAAAGGAGGAATATAAGTGTGACAAATGTGTATACAATCGTGTGGAAAGCACGGGGAAGGAGCAGCCATATACAGTGTAGCTCCTCTCCTCCAACTGCGACCTCCCATGCTTACTATGAAGGTGTACTGTGAGAATAGCAAGGGCAGGGATAGGCCTTCACACGGATCCTCCCTCTGTTCCACATTTCTACTTTTTGAACAAGTGAACAGGCGTGTGTGGCTTCTGAAGCTTGGTGTAATAGGCCTTATGAACACTCATGGGATGTGTACACAAGACAGGACAGACATCTTGAATCTGATATTCTTACACTTGCACAGGAGGTATAGTGGAGTTAGGAAGTCTTAGACAGTGGAATCAGTGTTTCCCTGGGGCTCTCTCTGAGATAGCCATGTCAGTGTCTTGTGCTGCTAGGCTGGGGGCCCCTTTCTCATTCTTCTCGGCAGTGCTCTGGACCTCTGCCTCAGAGTCCTGCCATCCTGCTCTTGATCCATAAATGCCCAAATGAACCTGCTATTAAGTTGTAAACCTTGGAGAATGAGCAAAGAGAATGCGACATCTGTTACTTATTAGAAAGGTGTGGGGGGGGGGGGGGCGGATACAGATGCATTCCCTGAACCTCTTTCTGTCTAATTCTCTTCTTGCGTAGACACTCATGTAGCAGGTCTTGCTCCTCACAAAGGTTGCAAAGCAAGACCAGCTAGTCTGCCAGCTGCTCAAACAATGCCCCTGCTGTGAATGAGGAACGTGCATTCTGGAGAGCAGCGGCAGGCCAAGAACGACTTGGCTGCAGTTGCGTGATTCTAACCTCACTTAGTTAAGAATTTCTGTGAGTTGTTCCAAGAACAGCACTGAGCAAATGTCTCACCCCGAATTTGAGTCTTTTAGGCCATAATCCTGTGCATGTTTAGACTGAAAAAGCTCCTAGCATGACAGTCAGCTGTGCTGGCTGGGAGTTGTGCTTCTTTTTCTGTCTAAACGTGCATAGGATTGCAACTTGAATGGATGTTTTTATGAAATGCAGCTTTAATGACAGTGGCTGATACTGCTGCAGCTGTTTTAAATGCCATTTTGGGGGGATGGATTCCAGTGCTAGCAGTGCTGAGGGCAAAAGGGAAGAGGCCAAAATCTCCCGCCTAGAACCCTGGAAAGTGGCTGCTGATCAGTGTTGACAACATTGGCCTTGATGGATCAAGGGAACCACTTATAAGATGGTTGCTTCCAAAGTTCCTACTCCAAATTGCAGCATACTGTAGCTTAAAGCACTTACTGCCGTAAGAGAGGCATTTCAACCTTGAAGCCCAACGCACAAAAAATAGCAGGTTAAAAACTCCTAGGCCCTAGCCTTGCTACACCTCAAGGGTGACTGCAGTCAGGCTTTAATACAGGGCTGCTGTACATGAAGTGCTTATCCTGCCACTCTGCTTGTGGAATAAGACTGTCTCCTTTACACATAGATTTTTCCAGCTTTTTTTCTTTCTTTGCCTCGCTGTATATTCCATTCCACAAGTACAAGGTGATGCAGTGGAATTGTGAATTTACACAAGATGTTCCTACCGTTTCATCATGAGATAAGGGAAAATTACTTAGTTAACATCACTCTAAAATTATTTATGAACATGGCTGCAAAACATGGAGAGGCCCTGAAGGAAGATGATGCATAAAGGGCATTGAAACTACCACCACCGTGAAGTCCATTGTTGGAGGGGAGATCATCCTCTTACCAAGCTGGATGGGCTATGCCTAGCTTTCTTATCTGTCCTACGGAGAAGGGTGACTGCAAAGGAGGGAAATGTGTGGAAATGACAGTGATATAAAGCTTCCTCCCATGTCTTCTGGTTCTGGTTTTACCACATGCTAGTGGGAAAGAGAGTAGAAGAAAGGTAGGAAGAAGCCAGTGTTTCAAGACAGTTGCATACTGGTTATGATTTAGAAATCAGCTCCATGCTGCTGTTTTAGGTTTCAACTGGATTCCATGCCTGAAAATCTTAATGGCTGCCACTTGCTTGTATCCAAACAAGCCATGCCTCTGCAGAGCAAATTCACAATAACTCTTTCTGTCTCTCTGAAGTAATGTCTCATCATGTAATCTTGGGGCACACTTCAGGTGAGAGTGCAAGATCCATCTTAGAAAGACATAAGAAGAGTTGGATCAGACCAAAGACTTAGGTAATGTAGCATTGCACAGTATTTTTCTCTCTGCTGATTTTCCCAAAGTTCAGTACCATTGAATGACGTCAGGTTCTAGTATTAAATCAGAGGGGGAAAAACATCTTCCTATCAGGTTTCTTTTCACCATACAGAATTTTGCACCTGTATCACGTATCCCCTCACTTGCCTTTTATCCAAAGGTGAACAGCCCCAAATGTCACTAAAACCTTTTCTCATAGGGGAGTTACTCCAGCATTTTGATCATCATGGCTGCTCATTTCTGCACCTTCAGAGTGACTTGCTTCCCAACAGTTTCTATGCTACTCATTGAATTTTGGGACATAGTCTGCAATTGGAGACAAATGGCTTGACAGGGCCTCTGTCAACAGATTTCATGAAATGGGTTGGCTGGCCTTCTTGGCAGAGCTGTTGTGGCAAATGGAGGTTTCCCAGTCTTGCATCTGCCATCAACATATATGCACAGGCAGGTGGACATTCCCATTTACTTTGTCCCTTGTTCCTTAGCATATCTGTTGCTGGAAAGAAATCTGGGAGGAGGAAAAAGCAGTGGGTAGGTGGGGAAAGGTTAAGCATCCCTTCTTACCTCTCCCCTGCAAATTTCTTCCGATCTGCATAGTCATCACTGCCAGCAAATGTAGGATGAAAATCCCCATTTTGCAGCTTGCTTATCTGTTCTGACCTCGGTTGCCTGGACTGCTATTGGACACGAGTGCAGCTATTCCTCCACCAAAAGATGACTTCCTCCCGATCATTAAGTGTGGGGTAGGATATCATGGAACAGCTGGCTTGACACTGATGCAAGTACAGCATTAAGGGGAAAGACCTGGATTTATTTGTGTTTTAACATCTGAAAAGACCCTTATTCATCATTTGGTCACAGATCTGAAAAAGCGGTGTAAACACCCACTATAAATACATTTCCATTCCATCTCTGTGCTCTCCATTTCCAGAATTAGTTTACAAGGCATATCTGCCATTTGATAATCTGAGAAACAAACCTGAGTAGCAAGAAGTGAACTGATAAATAGTGTCTGTTCTTTACCAGATAATCAGCCAGACGGAAGCTCTCTGTCCAGTGCTTCTTAAAATAGACTTCTGTTTGACTTCATGCATAAAGGCCATTTTCACACCTAGCAAGATACAGTAGGAGGAAATTTGTCAAAGGCCAAGAGGTACAGAAGCAGTGCCAAAGTAAACAGACTTAGATGGTTTGCACAGAGATGCTCCTTCGCTGCTGAATAGAAGCAATGCATGAAAATAAATGGTGCAGCATGATTTTCAGACAATACTTGAAAGAAACCTCCTTTTTACGGCCATTTTAAGCGGGACTGAGAAAAGCACCTTCCAGCTCAGTCCTGGGATCAGGAGAGTGAGCAACTGGCTTCTGTGGTTTTGTGGACATGGTGTGTGTGGGGCGGGGGGACACCATGCCAGTTTACTCCTCACTTCCTGGCCTGCTTCACAGAAGGAGGTTCTCCAAGCACTCTGACCATGCCAGTCCCATGGCAAGAATGAGGAGAAAGGGATGCTGTCACTGGCTATTCTCTTTTCCCATGTAACAGGTAGCCAGCATGGTCCAAATGCTAGTACTGAGCCTATTTAGACTGAGACACAGCGGAAGAAGGCACCTAAAGTAACAATTGGTAGATATTGCCCAGAACATCAGGTGTAAAGACTGGGTTACACTGATTGTATGGGAACAATGTTGCACCCAGCGTTAGTCTAACTAATGTCTTACTCATTTCAATGGTTCTTCTCTTAAGTGAGATGGACAGTGGGGGCAACCCATGGCTGCCCATGGAAAAGGCAGCTGCATATTGAGCTCCTTCCCTGTCTTTGTAACATCTAGAAGAAGATACTTCATGTCATGGTTCCATGATATTCTACATTTCCTTATCCTTCAATAGTATAATAGCAGCCAATAAGGTGGACTGGAAATACAGAGTGTGCTGACATCAGCACGGGGGTAGGTTGTGGAAGATGATATAGGCTGGGAACCTGTCCATTCAGCTGCCAGTTTTTGGTGGATGTGATTCACCATAACTTCTAGTTTGCCCCTTGTTCTGAAGGTTCTGACAGCATCAGACTGTGGTTCAGCAGCACCCCCTGCCCCCAACAACATGAGGTATGCATTGCCAGACAGCTGTGCCCACAAACTAGTTGTCTCATACTGCTCTGTGTTCAAAAACCACAGTTTTCCTGCATGTGGTTTGCTATTTTGAGGTGTGTGAGAATGGCAGCATTTTGGAGTATATTCTGGTTCTAAAACCTGACTTTCCTTATAAAAATAAAATACATCCAAGTACCTGAAAGAGGAGTTTTAGAAGCTGAAATCTAATTGGTAAATTTTCACAGGTTAAGCAAAAAACAGAACCTCAAACTATAATTTTTGGACTATAACCTTTTAGTGAAATTTCATGTTGGTTTTCTCAGAGGTCGATGTGAGTGGATCAGCTTGTGCTCTCATGGAATTTCCTGCACCTGTCAGACCATCATGGAGTTGGGATTGTGGCCAGTTTGGTGCAATACTATCCACATCAATGGGAAATGTTCTCTACGTTTCACCAGTATAAAGAGCAATGCACTTATTCATGTACGTTCTTTTTAATTTAGGGCTTGCCAGGCAAGGATGGGCCCACCGGACCTCAAGGACCTCCAGGACCTGTGGTATGTCTTAACAGACTACTAGATCTAAATAACTTAAGCTGAACTTTTGACATCATGAGATGTCAGTAGCTTCTTCACTTCATTTCAGTTATGCAACTATGGGAAGTTATCTACATTGTAGTACATAATAGAAAAAACTCAAAATATATAACCATTTGATGTCCTGATGGTCTGGAGAAGCTGGTTTATTTTTCAATATTATGCTCAGTCCTGTGGAGTTTTCAGAAAATGTTCAGATTACCTTGAGGATTAGTGCTTACCACTTGTAGGCTGGGTGCATAAAACTCAACAACCCTGTTGTGTTTTCTGAACCCTGTCATGGCCTTTCAACAGGGTAAGCTTGGTCTTTAGAAACCATGTTAAAGAAACAATGGCTTGTTCTATGGTTTCTCTGTACCACCATGACTTGTTTTTTGCCTGAATCCAGGAATAAGGGTTCCGTAGTCTTGATATGCAACTGCCACAGAGTCCTCTGGACAGAGTAGCAACTGCAGAAGCCATTTCAACCATCCAGCTTCCATATGTGGACCAATGAGGAACAGGCAGGTGATATAGGGAGGGAGTGATGCATTTTGGGATTGAATTTCAAGCATATTGGCTCACAGCATTCACTCCAACAGTGGGAAGACTGAATGGGGCAGAGGATGGAAACACAGATAAAGTAGAAACCACATGTTCAGGCATCAGGGAAATTATGGCAACTATGCAGAGCTGTTTATCATTCTGTGTGAATGTAGCCATAGATAACTATCGTTTGCATCCAGAAGGGATTTAGGTATGAACATTAATGGCCCTCTAACCTGCTTTGATAGGGAACAACTTATCTTGGAGCCTTAGACGTTTACAGTGCTTTGCCCCAGATTGCTTTGGATCTGAAGTTGTCTAAATATTTTTGAAGCAGGTCACCCTCACTTGGATGCATGCCTTGTTCAAGGCAAATGGACAGTTCAAGAAAATAACAACTAGGCCTCCAGTCTCATGCAGCTGATCAAAATGATTATTTTTTGATCTTCAAACTTAAGTCTAGACAATGGTTTGTCAACTATGCTATGGTGCCTGAGGATGATAGAAGCTGAACAATAACTGGGAATCCAAATTTGAGAACAATTGGTCTAGAGCAATCATCCCTATTTTTTTTTTTGCGGGAGTGAGGAGTCAGGGAGGTCAATAGTTCATTTAGAACTTTGAGAATGTCATGAGCACTCTCACAAAATGCCTCCCATGAGTGGGGCTTACTTATTCATAAAATGGCTGCTGTTTTATGCTCCTTTCCCTGAAGGCAAACAGGAAAGACTACATGAAAATTGACTTGCTGAAGAGGTGAGGTCTGAACTGTAAATTATAAACCACAATTTTGCATCTAGATAAGGATGGTCCTAGAGGACAGTAGTTTGTATGTGAGCTCCCAGACACACACACACACACACGCTCTATCTATCTATCTATCTATCTATCTATCTATCTAACTAACTATCTCTTAAGACATAAAATTAAACTCAGGAATGGGAGAGAGGCTCATGGTCACCAAGAGAGGTATTCATGGGAACATTGGAGGCAACCAGCTGGATTCTGCACATCTAGAGAAACATCTGCCTCATTTTTATTCAAGTTTCTTGGTCCTGCTGCATTGGACCTTTAGACAATACATTCTTTTGGACATTATCTGTGGTTCAACTGATATGTGAACAGTGATGATAGTGATTTTTCCTGCTTTCTCCATACAGGGAATACCTGGGGCTCCAGGTGTGCCAGGAGTTACAGGAAATGTTGGGCCACCAGGTGATGCTGGGCAACCTGTAAGTAGCAAAGCATTATATGGACTATGCCACTCATGAAAAGGTGTGCCAGAAGTCCACTTACATGCATCTCCGCTGTACCTTGGATGATTTATACAGTAGTCTACTGAATGGAGAGCAAACAGCAATAAACCACTGTTATGAACAAGCAGTCATCTGCCTGTACACATTAGCCAGGACTGCAGGAATGTAAGTCCTCTGATCCCTAACCAGGAGTTTTTGGTATCCTAAACATTGTAAAGCCGTAAGCGTTGCAACAGTGTCATACATAAGGTCTTTCTGCAGAGCTCAAGAACATCCCATTATCTGACATACATCATGAGAAGGTAGCTTTCTCTTGTCCTGTAATCCATCAGTTCCCCTTACTCTGCCAAAAAGAGAAAAGAGGGGAAAAGAGAAGATGGACGGATGGAGGGGTGGAGGGATGGAGGGACAGGGCCCACTGTGAAAAGTATTTTGAAGCAGTTTTTCAGTGTGTGATAAAGGGACAGTCTTTTCATGTCAGGGCTCTGCAGAAGAAAATTCTCAGTGTGATCCAAATTAGGGCTCCTTTTGTGAGAAATCATTGGCTTCGACTAGAAAACTGTGTTTAGTGATTGTGTATTGTCTTGGTGGTGCCAATGGGAGCTTTTTTCCAAGGCTAATTACTATGTAGGGGATGGGGTGGGACCCTGACTTCGGGATGGCTTCATTTAAATGCTTCAAAAACCCAGATGTGACTGCCGGCTATACAATTAAAGTAATATCAAGTTTAACCCTCAGAGGCTTGTAAAAGTATCATGTTTGATTTCTTTTGATTCCTTCACTCAGTCTGAGAATGAAAACAATGACAGTCAACAAGCAAGCTTCTTTACATGTGATTTCCACCCAAGAAGATATTAAAAATGGAAATTCTGGTGCAGTGAACAGGGTCTGATATGCTAGCTGATTAGAGAGGCTAGCTGGAAAATAATCTCTACCTGACCTAGCATACACATAGATCCAGGCCTACTTTCAGGCTAAAAGTTTAGGGGGAGACACTAAAAACGTTGTTTGTAGGCTATTCAAGGACAGCATTGTAAACTTTTTAAATTATTTGATGTATTTTTTTTATTCCACTGCTGTGGAAAAAAGGACCAATTACCCTAGGCAGTGATGGCGAACCTTTTAGAGACCAAGTGCCCAAACTGCAACCCAAAACCCTATTATTTATCACGAAGTGCCAACACTACAATAAAACCTGAAAACTGAGGTTTTCGTTCAGAAAAAACACCTAACAACCAGTCCAAAACAATGTGTATAGATCCTTGGCAACGTGCTGACCAGCCATGAAAAAGCTCGGATGAGTTACGGCTAACCCTAGCCCTAACTTGTGACATCAACATCTGGTACCGCGACTCCTTTCCACGCATGGCCATGGCTCCTACGTCTGCTGTAATCCAATGCTGGGGCAATTTGGCTCACATGCTGACAGAGAAGCCCCTGCATGCCAGCTGCAGCATGCACACAATAGATTCGCCACCACCCGCCCTGGTGCGCTCCACTGGCCCTAATATAGGGGTAAAATACCATTGAAAATAATGCAATTTTGAGAAAGCCTTCCTTGAGTAGCTGTTCCTGCACAGCTCATCGTTTCTGCGCATTGTAAGCATGTTCCAACCATCAAAATGATTCCAGGACCCCTCGTTCTTCTAACCCTAACAATACCCTGGTGCACACCCCTACCCCTATTATATGTGTAAAATCACATTGAAAATAAGGCGATTGTGAAAAGGCATTCCTTGAGTAGCTTTTTCTGCACAGCTCATCATTTCTGCCCATTCTAAGCACATTCCACACAACGAAATCATGCCAGGACATGTTGTTTTGTAACCCCAACCCAATTATGGTGAACCTTTTAGAGACTGAGAGCCCAAACTGCTACCCAAAACCCCCTTATTTATTGCAAAGTGCCAACACTGCAATAAAACCTGAAAACTGAGTTTTTGGTTAAAAAAAAAAACAACTCACAGCCAGTCCTCACAAATATATGTATATTTCAATATCAGTGCACTGACCAGCCATGCGAAAGATCAGACGAATCACAGCTAATGAGTCGTGGCTCGTAACGTCATCACCTGGCACCACTACTCCTTTCCTGTCACGCGCATGGCCCCAATGTATGCTGTTAGATGATGCTTGGCTGCTGGGGTGATGCTGGGGCTTCTTGGCTCATGTGCTGCCAGAGAGGGCTCTGCATGCCCGATGTGGCACACGTGCCATAGGTTCGCCACCACTGCCCTAGGCTGTACCTGCCAATTTTAGAGTACAGCCACCAGAATCCTTGACCATTGCCTAAGCTGGCTTGGGTTATGGAACTTGTAGTTGAAAACATCTGGAGGGCACCGTTGCCACCCCCTAATCAAGGGAGTCAAGCATTTTGCCTGTGCATATTGAAGCTTGCCACAACTATATAACACCAGTATCAACTTGTCAATTTTTGTAAGGTGGAATTTGGGATGCATCACAAACAACAGTCATATATTACTGTTGTGGTATGTTGCAAGATGTATGACCTAAACATTAGTGTGTTAAAAAGTCCTATTTTTAACAGGGTGAATGAGTGCATCACAAATTACAATTCTTTCATTTTACCCCCCACCCCGCTGCTTCCTCACAGGGACTTCCTGGACCAAAAGGCGAGCGGGGTGAACGTGTAAGTTACTTTTAATCTCAAAGTTGTACAGAACCCAGGAATACAAAACTGTACAGACCCCAGAATAGGGCACTTAATCTTCCAGTTGTGATGAAAAACCTATAATGAGGTGAGTGGTTCTTTTTAAGGAGGCTGAAGCTGCGGTTCACTCCACATGTACCTGTGTGTAAGTCTGTGAGTGGATGAAATCCAAAGCTATGCAAGCAGATTTCGGATTTCTGCTGGTGCAGTGGGACTTCTCTTTGCCTTCTCCTCCCCTTCAACCCCATGCTACACTCCACTGAAGCATCTCCCAATGGAAGCATCCCCACCAACGCATCCCCCAACCCTCTGGAGGGAATTTGGGGGCACACAAAGGGTTGAAGTGACAGGTGGAAATCTGTTCCATCAGCAGCTTGCATTCTGCTGGTAGATGTATCACTTTTCCACGGATAGGGTGGTGCTGCAAAAAAACCAAGGACATCCTTTTCAAGTGATCAGGGAGAGAAGCATCCCTGTTCTGTTCAGTTCACAGGTGCTAATGCATCATTTGGATATTCTTCTGCAGGGAGACCTTCAGTCCCATGCAATGGTGCGGGCAGTAGCACGTCAGGTGTGTGAACAGCTTATCCAAGGTGGGTACCAGTATTTATAATTGGAATTCTTCTAGATATTTTCTGTTGCTGGTGTTGGGCATTTCCAAATGCCACCAGTGATTCATCATGCTGAGCACAACTCACCCATTCTGGCCCATTTATCCTGCTCAGAGAAATAAAGTTTGGTCAGGCTGAAGTGTTCTTTTTTGTGGATGTTTCTACTTTGCAGGTCATCTGGCCAGATATAACTCAATCTTAAATCAGATTCCAAGCCAGTCTGTTTCAACGCGAACTGTTCCTGGACCCCCTGGTGAACCAGGACGGCAAGGAGGACCTGGACCACAGGGAGAACAAGGATCTCCCGGAAGGCCTGGATTTCCAGGCAGTCCTGGCCAGCCTGGTAGACCTGGTGAAAGAGGTAAATTGAATACTAATATCTATAAAACTTGATCTTAACTGACGGTTACCAAAGACAAAATAATGTATGTCTGGTGTCATGCTGGGCAGATAAAAGTCAAAGCAATATAAATAGCTTTCAACTCCTGGGAGGCATTGAATGTGTTAAAACCCATGATGGATATTTTCAAGATTAATAATATTGACCTATGAGAAGTTTCCTGTGAGAACTGTGCTTTCAGAAAAAGTCTCCTTCGTACTAAAATAGAATTCCATATAAAACATTTGTGAAAAGTGGATCCAGTGTTGTTCGCAGCCTACCTAGACGGTCATTTTCCATGGGATTAGGTGAATAATACTTTAAATATTAAGAAATTGATTACTGTTTAAGGTGTCACAAGAATCCCTGCTGTTTTCATTGTGAGAGACAAATACAGCTACCCTTCTGGAAATTATTGCAATGGAAAGCCAGTGAAATGGTTTTTTTTTTCTTTGCTGGCATCACCTGTCTCATACAAAAAGATTGTTTTTATGGCCTGCTTTCATGTGAGAATTTTTAGTAATCTTACTCTACATATGAAGAGTTGAGCCCAAATCATAAAGCTGAAACAAAATACAATGATAAATTCCAGTCTTCACAACCTGTTGGATTTTGCAAAACAGCTGTGGCAGTTTGACCAGCTTCAGGCTATTTTATGCAAAAAAGTAATGGTCCACCTTAGTGAGCTATGAGTCTTATACAAATATATGTGATGGATTCTATTGCTTATAGATGTATTTTCTTATGTGATCTTAAAACTGGGAGGAATCTTGAGGCCATCGAGTCTGACTCCTTGTCAGTGTAGGAAATCTATTATTATAGCAGTCCTGATAGATAGCTATCAAGACTGCATCTAAAACCTCAAATGAAGGAAAGTCCACTGCTTTCCATGACAAGCTGTTCCATTGTTGAATAGTCTCCATCTTCAGAATGTTCTTTCTAAAGTTCAGTCTAAACCCCTTTCCTTGTAATCCAAACCCATTGGTTCACATCTTAGCTTCTTCATTTTCTACATGGCATCCCTTCAGATATTGGAAGATGGCTATTATATAGCCACATTTCTAAGCTAAGCAAACCTAACCTCTGCAACCTTCAAGAAAGGGAAAAAAGATGAATGGGGAATTATAGACTAGTCAGTCTAACATCCATACTGGGACAAATTATTTAAAAAAAAATCAGTCTGCTAGCACCTTGAAGAAAATGCAGTGAGGAACAGAGGCCAACATGGATTTCTTAAAAATAAGTCATGTCAAACCAACCTAACCTCATTTGACTGGGTAACCTCCCAAATGGACAGCAGAAAAGCCGTGGGCATAATTTACCTTGATTTAGGAAAGCATTTGATAAAGTGCCCCATGACACCCTGATAAACCAACTAGCAAAAAGTAGGCTGGACAGAACTACAATTAGGTAGACCGAGGAAGAAAAAACCAGATGCATTGATACAAGATGGGGAATACTTGGCTCAACAGCACTGAAATAGAAAAAGACCTTGGAACTGTTGAAGACAACAAGCTATATATGAACCAGTACTGCAATGCAGCCGCAGAGGGCAAATGTTATTTTGGGATGCATAAATAGAGGTATCACTTCCAAAGAGACACTAGTTCTCCTTTTTTCTGCACTAGTCAGACCTCACCTGGAATACTGAGTTCAGTTCTGCAGCCCCACGTATTTAAAAGATGCAGAAAAAATCTAGGAAGGGCAACAAAGATAATCCAGGGTCTAGAAACCAAGCCCTACAATCAAAGACTGAGAAAGCTGGGCATGTTCGGCCTCAAGAAGAAAAGACTGCAAGGGAATGTATTTGCACTCTACAAGTATCTCAAAGGTTGTCACAAAGAGGAAGAAAAAGATCTTTTCTTACTCATCCCTGAGTGTAGGACATGGAACAATGAACTTAAATTGCAGCATACCAGATTCAGGCTGGTCACCTGAAACTTCATGTCAGAGCAATATGACAGAGGAGCCAGTTCCCAAGAGAAGTCATGGGCTCTCCTATACTGGAGACATCCAGTGCAAAACTGGACAGTTATCTGACTCAAAAGAAAAAAAAAAGAAAACTCTTGAGCCTCTGCAGCTGTGCATTTGAAGCTCACTTAAACCATAACACGACTACAAGAGGCTTCGGCGAATGGGGCGGCATAAAAATGTTTTAATAAAATAAATAAATAAAATAAAATAAAGCAAGTTTCTGCAGCCCTGATGCTAAACACATTTTCTTGAGAAATAAGCACAGTTTCTCATAGAAAGGGATAATATATTTTAAAAATAATAATAATAAAATTAGCATCTGTATCCATTCACATGCCTGGCTGCCTGCCGGCACCCTCCCCATTCCTGACTATACGGGGTTTAAAAAAGAAGAAGAGGAAAGGATGCAGAGCTTGGCTGCATCAGCTCCACTGACAGGCCCATACCAGCTCAGGGTCTGATGCCAGGCTTAGATTCCTCTGCATCCTTTGCTGCTTTCTGACTGGTAATTTGGGCCCTGCAGCCTACTGGAAAACAGCTGCATCATTGAGGGTATAGGCATACTTTTATTTCTAAGAAATAAGTACCTTATTTTGAAGAGCATTCTCACTTTTTAGAAATAAATGAGACAGACAGCTCCGTCCTATGCATGTGAGCACTGAAATAAATCTCACTGTGCTGAAGTCCCAAGAAAACGACTGTGTGGCTTTGTCGCAGAAGCCAGTTTTAAATGCCCAAGAACACCAGTTTGCCATTGCATTGCTGGCTGCCTTTTCCTGCAGGTGAAAGGTACTCTGGCGTTTAGGGTGTCAAATGACTCACTTCATTGCCATGAGAATGAATGTTATGTTGTCGGTTATGAAGATCTCTGAGATCTTTGAGTGATCTCTGAGAAACCCAACAAGTCTCTGTGGCCCTAAATCTATTGACACAAGTGTAAAAGAATGCAAGATTTAGGGCGGCAAGCTTGTCAGTCTTGGGTATCTTTGGCAAAGCTGAACAAAGTGTGGCATTGTTAAGTCAAGAAAGGAAGAAGGGGGCTGAGATACACAGGGAAATGGGAAGTTCGAAACAAGAGAAGGAGTGATTGAAAGTTAAACTGGATGGATTAAAGTGAAGTGTGATGGAGGACAAGCTCTCTGAAAAGCTTGCTTCCTTGGATAAAGAAATATACTTGAGTGTGAAGGACTTAACAGAAAGATTAAGCAAATATATATAATGAGGAAGAACAAATAAAGTATTAGATTGTAACAATACTTCCCAATCCAGTAACACCAACTTTATAGGCTTATATATAGCTTGCAAAGAATGTGCCAGGGAATTCAGTTGAGAAGTCACAGCTTGCGATAATGTTGGGTGGGAGGCAGGGAAGGGCACGGGATCAAAGTTTTCACATTCATTATTTCTGTTGCTAAAACAGTTGTCAAAGCAGAAAAGACATTTTGGCAGGACGGCACATCTGGCACTGGTCTCTAAGAACAGTTCCATCAGCATGAACCATGCTTTCAATTGTCATCTTCTGGTCCCAGGCCAATGCAGTACTGGGGCACATTGAGCCAACAAGCATTGCAACACAAGGAGGCTCTCCAGGTTGCGGGAAAGACGTGCTTCTGGTGAGAGGTCTATAAGGAGAGGCTGTTTTGATGCTCCAGCAGCAGATTTGTAGATGCTTGTCTCAAGCAGGAAGTCTGGGCATAGCAGAATGGGGTAGACAGCATTATTAAACTCCCCCAAGCTTTGTACAGCCAGTAAGGAAATGGAATTATTTAGAGTCAGCACAGGCTGCCAGCATGGCATCAGGACCTGCAAACTCCACCTTTGATCAACACAATCTGTCTGCTGGGAAGCCAGTGGGATCATTCAGGAGCTGATTTGCCAGGAGTAGTGGCTTTCATCAGTCTCTCCCAGGTTTAACACATCTGCCTAGGCAGCAGAAATGCCTGGAGCCATCTGAGGCAGTCAGCCCTATCCACAGACCCATGGAGTGCTTCCCCATGTTGGAACGAGGGTGAGGGCTCACCCTGTAAAGTGACATACGGGGAGGGCTTGTGTGGTCTTATCCCACTGCAAAGAGAGGGGCCATGACAGCAGGTTAGGGACTAGCGATCAGGCTACATCTGTGCTGCTAATTCTAGCATGCAACTGAGCTGCTGCCTTCCAGCTCCCATACTGGATTCCTCATCATGCTGAAAAATCAATATTAGCTCTACAAGTCTCCTTCCTAATCTTATTTAGACTATTTGGGAATTCTGAATCAAACATTCATTGGGAGGAGGTGGTGGTGGGGAAACACATACAGTCAAAATAGTTCATAGATTTTCTCTTGACTAAATGTTGTTTTGGGGACAATCTGTCAAATTCTGAAGCAGTAAATCAAGAAGAGGTGGAAAGGGTATGTTTCAGAAAGGCTGATTACAGAGAGTTAGGGTTGGGGTGGAGAGGAGATTTGACTCTCAGTAGAATTCTTCTCTTCTAAAAAGAATGAAATTTTATCTAGATGATGCAGTGACATATTGGGAATTTAAAAGAGATCCTTCGTATTCACATGATATAGGCATCGCATACACTGTGTGCTTAATGAACTCCCACAAAATGCTAATCTTGTGCCATAAATAAATTCTCTATTCTTACTATTCTTTTTTTTAAAGCCAGTTCTACAGCAGTGAAAATGACTATAAAAAGTAGTCTCCTTCAAGTTATTTCATTTTCTTTTGATCTCATCTTCAGATTTGCATTTTTCCAATATGGAAAGCGCCAAAAGTTTTTTGTATAGTGCACCGAACAGGTTGCTTAAGATCACGATAAAGCAGAGGAAGGGGAGCATTCTGAAGTTGGCTTGTGTTTCTGAAACTAGACAACTTGCTATTCATTTCTGCAATGAAAGAACCATACTCACTGACATCCAACATATGATTCCTAGTTAAAAATTATTGTAACAGTCTTGAAAATTCAAGTTAAAAATATAAAATGCAAGTAAGCAAATCTGACTGGCAAACTATATTAGAATT